GTGTGCATCATTTCCCTCGTCAGAATTTCTCAGCATGCATGTGTGCTCAGCTCAGTCATTGTCCAGCTCTTTTGTGACCTCATGGATGGTAGCCCTCCAAGCTCCTCTGCCCATGGAATTTTTCAGGCAAGAATACTGGAGTAGATGGCCATTTCCTACTCCAGGGAATCTTCCTAACCCAGGGATCAAACCCATGTCTCCTGCGTCCCCTGCCTTGACAGGCAGATTCTTTACCACTGAGCCACCTAGAAAGCCCGAATTTCTCCACAACCCCTTCAAAGCAGGCTCCTACAACACGACGCTTGACAGAGGCTATTTTGATGTGGAGTGATTAGTTGATGCCAGTTCAGAAAAACGGTTTTGTGACAATATTTGAGCCCCTGAATATCAAACACTGGGGAAGGGCAGAATGATGTGAAAACTATCACAAGTATTGTAAGAACATATCTTGCATTCAGTTTTTTAGTCAACCCAGGCCTCTTTTGGGGGGTAAATGTCAAGGATCAGACTGGTCAACCATCAGTCATCAAGTGGCTTCTAAAAATGGATGGACTGTTTGTTTTTTTTTTTTAAATACATTTATTTATTTTTTGGCTGTGCTGGTTCTTTGTGGCTGTGCTAACTTTTCTCTAGATGCAGCAAGTGGGAACTAGTCTTTAGTTGTGATGCTCAGGCTTCTCATTGCGCTGACTTCTCTTGTTGTGGAGCACAGGCTCTAGGGCACACGCGCTTGGTATTTGTGGTTCCCAGGCTCTCGAGCACAGGCTCAATGGATGTGGCACACGGGCATAGTTGCTCCGTGGCATGTGGGATCTTCCTGGGTCAGGGTTTGAACCTGTGTCTCCTGCCTTGGCAAGTGGATTCTTTACCACTGAGCCACCAGGGAAGCCCGGATGGACTGTTTTATCTGGGTGAGAGTCAGGAGTAAATTACAGGGACCCTCATTTGTTTAATTAATTAATTAATGGCTGTGTTGGGTGCTCGTTGCTTCGCACAGACATTCTCCAGCTACAGCAAGCAGGGGCTGCTCGTCATTGCAGCACCTGGGCTCCTAGTCTCGTTGGTTTCCCTTGTTGCAGAGCGCGGGCTCTAGGTGAGAGGACTTCACCAGTTCTGACCCACAGGCTCAGTGGCTGTGGTGTATGGGCTTCGTTGCTCTGCAGCATGCGAAAACTTCGTGGACCAGGGATCAAACCCATGTCCCCTGCATTGGCAGGTGAATTCTTAGTCACTGCCACCAGGGAAGTCCCCTTATTTGTTTATTATTTGTTTAGTTTTGGCTGCACCTCTTTGCTTGTGGTATCTTAGTTCTCAGATCAGGGATCAAACTTTCATCCTCTGCATTGGAAGCCAGACTCTTAACCACTAGACCACCAGGGAAGTCCCAATTTCAGCACTTTAAAGATGTTCCATTGTCTTCTGGCCTCCATTATTTATGCTGAGAAGTCAGCAAATTCTACAAACTTGAACTGAAAGGGACAGTTCTTTAGATTCCCAACTTTCTACAGATAAGAAGCAGGTTGGCAGAGAAAACTATTCAGTTATAGACATGAACCGTGTCTTATGGGAAAGCACAGATGATTCAGAGGCCAAAGCCAACAGCCCAGAGTACAGAGCTGAGTCATGAAGAACTTCTCTCCAGGATGCTGGACAATGTGCACTCCCGCTCCTGAGCAGGAGGGGGCAGCACGTTGCGTAGAGAGATTTCAGATATGCTATGGACCAGTCCTTGCTGTGAGTGGGTTATCTCGTGGTTATCCTGTCCCTTCCTCACCCCTGAATGTTGGGTGGGCAGGGTGACCTCTTTAGTTCACAGTTCTTCAGATCAAGAGGAATTATGCCCAAGAAGCCTCGACTGCATGTAAATCTAGTTTAGTTGATAAGACCCTGGACCTCAAGGCTGGCTGATACCATAATGGGATGAGACTTTAGTGGGTATGGCCAAGTCTTACAGTGTACTATGTTTGTTTCCTTTCTTAATTTTTTCCCCTTAAGTTAATAATCACCTTTGTTGTTGTTGATTTCCTTTGTACCTACCCACACTTTATGACTCTCCACCAGAACAATCTCATTAAGGAACATATATCATTTCTTTTGTTTCTCCCCTTCTCCTCTTTAATCCTGCCTTGATGCACCCATTTTCCTTTTTCTGTGGGTAGCTCTGTCGTCCTGGGAGTTCCCTTTCCCATCCTGGGGTTCCATTGGTCTTTCTCCTGGTTGGGGTTTCCTGTCCTGTGTCTCACGTCTGCCTCTTGGCTTACATTCTCCAGATGTTTCATCCGATTGAAAAGATAGAGCAATGGCAGAGGGCACGATGAGGACACTGTGATGTCAGCATTCCTGTCTCTTTTGTCACAGTGTTCGTGAATGAAGGCCGCCCTCTCTGCTTGGGGCACAGCTGCCATTCTGGAATCTCCCTTCACCAGCATCCCACAGATTCCCTTCTCCCTCTTCTGAGTTTGATCTGTTTTCTACAGCCCACATTTCCTACTTTTTTGGTTTAATTCTTCTTTAGTCAGAGAACATCTCCCCACCCTCACCCCCACAGTGGCTTCCCAAGACTTGTGCCTGGGGGATAAAACTTTCTGAGACTTTCCATGTTCCTAAATGTCTTTACTTCACTCTCACACTGGAGTCAGTGTGGTGGTTACTGCTTCTTGCTGACCTGTCTCCTTCCCTTCTCCTTTCTGCTAACAAACTGTGCTGCGGCCACATAGCAGCAGTGTCACCAGCCTGGGCAATTTGTGAGACAGTTGCGGTCCTTCCGTGGGAGTGTTCACATTGGATGGGACAGAGGCAGGCTCCAGCCTTCTTCACTGGCATCCCTGGAGGAAGAGACTGCAGTGTGCCTGGCTCCAGGAGTCATCTTGGAGACTGGAGAACCAAGTCACCACCTGCGGGCTAGAAGGAAGGCCATCTGTCCACCGGGTCCCTAGCTTGTCCCTCCACTGGAGCATCACAGGAAGGTCCCATGCACTGGCCCACGAACCAGAAGCAGAGGTCCCATGAACACCTGTTGTGCTTCATGAGAGTCAGTTGGCTTCCTGTCATCTCCTTTGGAAAGAATCCCTCCTAGATGGTCACTGCTGAACATTCTGCAAACTTTTCTTTTGGAGGTTGCTGCTGTTATTTTAAATTTTGAATTTTCAGTTATTATACTTCCTAAAAATCTTTATACCCATTCTTTTAAAATTTCCCCTTATATAATGAGCATTTTCTACACTTACCCATTCTCCGTGAAAGTATAATTTTTTTAAATTATATTGAAAGGCTGTTTTAGTTACCAATGTCCAAACAAGGTTTTATTTTGTTTTTGCAATTATAAGTAAGGTGACCACTGACATCTTCATGCTTTTTCTGTATTTAAGACTTTCTTCTTAGAATAGACTTTCAGTGATGAATTCATTGAGTCAAAGAGAATAACTATTTTAAAAAGTTGAAGCAAACACTAACAAACTGATTTACAAACGGGCTGGGCCAGTTACTTGCCCACCAGCTGGCACATTGCCCCACAGCCTCGACTAACAGCATTCCACCAAGGTTGATATAACTCCACACATCTCCTTGCTGTGGCTTTGATTTGCATTTCTTTAATTACTGAGGCTGAATATTTCTCAGCAAGTCTATTAGCCAAATTGGTTTCCTCTTCCAAGACTTGTCTGTGTCCTTCATTCATTTCATCTTCAGGGGTCCAGGGTTTGCCTGATCAATTTCTTAAGTGCTCTGGACAATAATGTTGTCAGTATTTGGCCACATTTCCTGCAAATATTTTTCCTATTGTTTGCTTTTTAATTTTTTTTAATTTTAAAAACTGGTTTTTTTTAGGCTGTACCATGTGGCCTGTGAGTTCACTGTTCCCCAGACAGGGATCAAGCACTTACCCTCTGCACTGGGAGCACAGAATCTTAACCACTAGACTGCCAGGGAAGTCCCTGATTTTTTATTTTGAGGCCAATTTTGTTTGTACTTTTTTAGTTTATGGCCACATCTCTATTATGTTGTCTACTGGGACTGTTTTTTTTTCTGCCACACTGCACGTGGGATATTAGTTCCCAGTGAAAGTGTTAGTCTCTCAGTTGTGTCTGACTCTCTGTGGGCCCAAGGACTGTAGCTTGTCTGTCTCCTCTGTCCATGGAATTCTTCAGGCAAGAATGCTGGAGTGGGTAGCCATTATCAAACCCATGCCCCCTGCACCTCGAGGAGCTCTGAGTCTTAACCACTGGACCCTTCGGGAAGTCCCTACTGTGGCTTCCAACATTAGAAAACATGCTCCCTGCCAGAGTTGATAGATAGCCACTTTTTTTAAGGTGGAATTGATAAAATATATTCAAGTCTCTGAATCCTCCTGGATTCCAATTCCCCTCCCTTGTTTGGTGGAGGGAATGAGAAAGAGGCTGGCTTCCTGCTCACCCTGCAGCCCCCACCCCAGGCCCACAGGTGCCCACTGGGACACGAGCCGCTTCTCTAGGCACTGGAGTCACTGGGAGCCCAACTTTCCCTGCGTCCCGGCTGTCTGATCACTCCTGACTTTTGTTGCTTGCTTGATTTCAAGGCACAGCCTTCTTAGAATTGGCTTTAAAAAAAAAAAATGAAGAAGGATGCCGTAGAGGCAGTGTTGGCCCAGAAGAATCTGAGAGTCCTCTGAGATCCAGGGAATCGACCGTCAGGTGCTGGAGAACTGTCGCTGTCCTGACCTTCTGAAACTTTCCCAAGTTTGCGATTAGTCATTTTCAGCTTCATTCTGTCTGGCAGGGTCCTCCACACCGTTCACCTGGACGTTCCCCGGCCCGGGACAGGGCTGGGCCCCCAGCATGCGCACAGAACACCTGTGCAATGAGCCCCAGTGAGCCTGGGCCCAGCTTCCATACTCCGCCCCTCCCCAGGGAGCCCAGTTCCGCACAGGGCCCGGGACACAGCGCCGAGGGGGCCGCGGAGGAGGAGGGAGAGAGGGGGCGTGAGTGACAGGCCCGAACTGCGGTGACGCCCCCTTCCCCTTGCAGGGCTGCTGGAGAAGAGAATGGAGGAGAGGGGAGCACGAGGGGGGCAGGGGCAGGACTGGGAGGAAGGGGGCAGCGAGGAGCGGAGGGAGCCCCCACCAGGCCTGGCTCTGCCCGGCAGCCCGGCCATCCGAGGGCAGGACTGCGTGGACCCGGCGCTCCAGGGCTGGGGGGCGGGGGAGCGGGGAGGGGGCGGCCGACCTCTGCCCCCCGCGCCTCCCGGGGCGAGCCACACCCCCTTCACAGGCCGGGAGGCTGAGGCCGGGCTCTGCCTGTGCTCCAGAGCTCCCCACCCCAAGCCTGGGGTGGGGGGTCCGTCGGACCTGGTCCCCGGCCCCAGCCCCAAGCCGAGACCAGACCTGAGCCTCTGACCTCATCCCCGTGCCCCAGATAACTTCCTCCCGGAGCCGCTTCCGCGGCGGCCGCACGTCCCGACCCGGCCGGCCACGCCCAGGGCAGGGACACGGTCGGTCACCCGGCCCGGCCTTCCCAGAACCACTTTCCGCCCCGCCCACCCGGCCCTCGGTTCCGGGAAGCCCCCCCACCGCCCCCGGCTGGGGTAGGCGGTCGTGGCCTCGTTGGGACGAGTCCTGGAACTGCTGGGATCCAGTCCCTGGACAGAGGGCCGACCAGGGCGCTGGGGTCGGTTGGGGACCCTCGTCCGGACTCCTTCCCTGCCCCACTTTGTTCCATAAGCACAGGGGACCTTTTTCGTGCCCATCCCCCCCAAAGTGTAAAACCCAGTCCTGGACTCTTTCATTCACTGATGTGGGACATAGCGTGTGTGTGTGTGTGTGTGTGTGTGTGTGTGCGCGTGCGCGCGCACTCCTGGGCTCAGCCATGCCTGACCCTTTGTGACCCCATGGACTGTGTGGGTATGTGTGTGTGCGCGTGTGCACACACATTCGTGCACTCAGTCATGCCCAACTCTTTGTGACCCTATGGACCATAGCCCGCCATGCTCCTCTGTCCATGGAATTTTCCAGGCAAGAATACTGGGGCAGGTTGCCATTTCCTTCTCCAAGGATCTTCCTGACCCAGGAATCAAATCGGCAGCTGTGTCTCCTGCTTTGGAAGACAGGTTCTTTACCGCTAGTGTCACCTGGGAAGTAGATGCTCAATATGAATGAATGAACAAATGAATGAATGGATGAAACAGGGAGGGTCTTATGGGTGGACTGCAGTCAGTTTATGTGGGGCCTGTGGTCAGCTGGGGGGTGTGGTCAGCCACGGTAGCGGGGGTGGAACTCCATGCCACAAGCTGCCTAAATGGGGCCTATACACCCTGGCCTCAAACCCTTGGGGTGAGGGGTCTGACCCCTTGGGGTTCAGGGCCAGGTCATGGAGGAACCAGAGTTCTGGGGTGCCTCCTTCCTGTCAAGAGGAACTGGGCTGGCCGGGCTGACAGGTCCAGCGGCATAGCCAAGCTGACACTCATCTGCAGCATATAACCCACTTCATGGAGCCCCGAGCTTCGTGCTCAAGCACTCGGAGCTCCTGCCACCACTGTCCCCTGCCCGGCGGGCACTCCAGCCAGGCCGAGACCATGAGGCAGGTGCCAGCTGTGGCCCTGCTCCTGCTGCTGCTGCAGTCCGGTGAGTCCTAAAGGTAGCAGGAGAGTCCTACAGGTCCTGCAGGTCGTGACGGCAGCTGTAGCCCAGTCCCCACTCCCTGGCCAGGCTGGGGGCTGCAGCAAGGGCCTCCTCTTCTTCCCGCAGGAGGAAGGTTCCAGACATCCCACCTGGGGGAGTGAAGTGGGGAAGGCAGCATGGGTGCAGGCCTGCAAGGGCCCGAGGTGGTGCCTCGGGCAGGATCCACCCCCACCCCCACCCCTGCTCCCACTGCCTTCGGCGAGCAGGGCCAAGCTCTGGGCTTGGCACCCCACTTCCTCTCATCTCAGCCTCTCCCGTCTCCAAGGCACAAACACAGGGCTGCCTGGGTGCAGGATCTGAACTCAAGACTGGCCCCAGGGCCAGCGTCCGCGGGGCCAGGAGGGGTGGCCAAGCGCGGCCTGAGCCAGGGAGCCACGGAAGGCTGGGGGGGTCAGTCGGGCATGGGGCAGGGGTGCAGGTGAGAGAGGCCCCAGTGAGGGTGAGCAGGTGTCAGCCAGGGGCCCCACCTGCCAGGCCCCTCCCAGCCAGGCAGGCTGCTCTCTGCTGGAGAAACTCTCTTGCATTCCTGGGCCCGCCTGGCCGGCCCAGCCGCCGCCTCACTTCCGTGTCCTCAAGTCACCTCGCAGGGCCGGGCTGTCAGCCTGGGCTGCAGCCCTGCCGGGGCTCCAGGCTTCCCACCGGGGAGGAGGCACCTCGGTGGGGAGGCCCCAGACTCCTTGGGCTCCGCAGGGCCCCCCAGGCCTCACTGCCCTGCCTTCCTCCCCTGGCACCAGGATAACAGCGTTCTTTGAGGGAGCTCGTCTCTGCCAGGGTGTGTAACCCTGTGATTGCTCCTGGTGGGTGGAGTAATCGAGGTCATCGCCAAAGTGCAAACAGCGGCCTACACTTGGCTCTCCAAAGCTGACACCAGAGGCCTGAACTGAGCGCCATCCCGGCCTCTCATCTCTGGCTGTTCCCTCCTAAAGCCTCAGGTCTCTCCTGCCTCCATGAGCCACCAGATACAGGAGCAGAAGGGCCCCGGATCCAGAGGAGGGGCCTGACACCCTGCTGGCTTACCCAGCTCCAACAGGACGCCCACCCCGCCCAGCCTGGGTCTCCACACTCCTCTTCCCCAGGCAGTCCTGCCCCCACTGTCCCTCTTACACATTCCCTGGGCTCAGGCTCCCAGGATGTGGGCCCTGCTTCCACAGAGCTCCTGAGCTCAGGTGAGATGAGATGAGAATTCCACCCCCAGGGCAAGGTGGGGCCAAGTGGGAAGACTCAGAAAAGGGAGCCAGGCTGCCCAGATAGTACAATCAAGGAGGGCTGCCTGGAGGAGGGGGAGGAATTTCAGTTAGGTTTAGCACTCTGGATTAGGATCTGGATTAGCACTCTCTAGAATCTGGATTTAGACCGAGGAGGAAAGGGGTGCTGTGGACAAGCATTCGGAGGCAGGAAAAGTGAAGTCAAAGTCCCTTAGTTGGGTCTGACTCTTTGTGACCCCAGGGACTGTAGACCACCAGGCTCTTCTGTCCATGGGGTTCTCCAGGCAAGAATACTGGAGTGTATAGCCATTTCCTTCTCCAGGGGAATTCCCGACCCAGAGGTCGAACCTGGATCTCCTTCATCACAGATGGATTCTTTACTGTCTGAGGCACCAGAGAAGCCTCAGAGGCCGGGGCTCAGTCCAAACAGGAAGCCGGGGTGCATCAGGCCGGGGTGCATCAGGCCAGGGTGCATCAGGCCAGGGTGCAGACGGCTGCAGAGCCTCCGCAGGAGGGTCTGCCAGGCAGGGTGCGAGTGCCCTCGATCCTGGGCGTCGACAGTGCAGCCACATACTCGTACAGGAGTGGGCATGGCTGTGGGGAGAACCTGGACAAGGCTCTGGGAAAGTCCCACGGGGAGGGAAAAAGCCGGCCAGGGCGTTTCAGCTTCATGCAAGCAGAAGCAAGAAGGCAGGGTCCAGGGTTATCAGTCTGACTAAATCAGATTATACTAAGACCAGGGGCTGGAGGGAATGCCTGCCTGGGGCGAGTGTGCATTTTTAAAGGGCCCTTTGTTGACACAATCAGTGTCTGGGCAGACGTCCTGCTGGCCTTGGCTGACTGCTCTCACCTCCCACGCGTCTATTGGCACCTCTACCTGGAAGAGTGGCCAGTCCTGCCTGTGCCTGCCTGCTCCTCTTGGCCCATGCTCAGCACCCCCCGCAACTGCTTCATTTTTCCACCCCCCAGCACTGCGGAGTGCACCCCTCAGCTAGAAGAATAGGGTCCTGTCAAAACCCCCAGGGCCACAGAAGGGTGTGGCTCAGCCTGGCCATTTCCTGCCCTGGGCCTAGGGGCCCCTCCGCCACCTGGGACTGGTTACTGTGAGGGGCTGGGGTGTCGGGGGAGTGTGAGGTGGGGAGAGGCTGTCCTGACTCCCCAAGCTCTGATCAGATCCGTCCCAGTGATCAGATCCACAAGCAGGGCTCTCTTTACGGGGTGGGTCGCCTGGAGCTGCGCTGGCGCTGGTTGAGACTGTCGGCCTGGCTGGGGTCTCCGAGCTGGAGTGGAAGGGCCTAACGAGGCCAAGAGCCGGGCCCTGTGCCTTGTCCAGAGACTGGGGGACAGTGGGTCCTGGGGAGAGGGGTCCACTTCCAAGAGTGCCCCCCGCCCTCCCCTCTGTCCCTCACACAGGCAGGGGTGCCAGGCCCGGCAGGGGTCCTGGGGCCTCCTGTGAGCTAGCTGGAACGTCTGAGAGAGGGGCTGGCACCTGGGAATCTGGGATCTTGGGAGGGCTGACCCACGACCACCGGCTGGCCTCTCTACTCCCCTGAGACGAGCAAGACCCAAGCGGCTGGGTGGGCAGTCGGACGTGGAGCCTCGCTCACTCTGTCTGGCCCCTTATCCCAGCCCCAGGCTGGTAGAGAGGGTGTGTGGGGGAGGCCCCACAGCCCTGGGGCCGAAGGCCAGATCCTCGGCAGAGCTTCCAGACGAGGACAAGTCTGGGGTATGGAGGGAAAGCCCTGGTGGGGCCCAGAAGGAGCCCTCTTGCCCCAGATGGGAGTCAGGCCCTGGCGGGGTCCCCTCCCCTCTGATTGGTCCTCGTGTGGCAACGTGCCTGTCTGCCCTTGCAGGTGAGCTCTGGCCCACAGCCCGGCCTGTGCACACCATAGGGGTGGGACCTGCAGGAAACTGAAGGCTGCCAGCCTCTCCTGCTAGGTCCCCGGTGGACAGTCCTGCGGAGTCCATGGGAGGCTGCGTGTGCAGCAGAGGACGGGCTACGCTGACCAGTTGGGGAGGGGAGGAGCAGACCACAGCTTGGGCAGAGTTGGCTGATCACCCTCTTTTTCTTATTTTCAGGGACTCAGGGGGGTGAGGCACTAAACGGTAAGCATTCAAGGCCTTCAGGTAGGGGGACAGGAGTGGGCTTGGCTGAGATCTCCGAGACGGGCCAGGAGCCCCCCTCCCCAGTGAGACCCATAATGAATGGGCCTGGCACGGGAATCCCACAGTGGGAAAAGCTGGGGAGCCCAGACAGGAGTTGGGGGGTAGAAGAGGAAGGTCCAGGAGCCCTATATCAGGCTGGGGGGAGGGGGGTAAGAACTTTACCCGTGTTATCTAACCCCCACCGCACAGAGGGTCGGGTGTCACAGGTGAGGGGCAAGGAGCCCACAGCCTGCGTCAGAGGCTGACTGATGCCCAGGCCTCCGACTTAGGGCTAAGGTCCTGGGGCCGGTCAGAGGCAGGAAAGCCAGGAAGTGAACAGGATAGGAAAGCCTGAGTGTGGGTTTGGGGGTGGGAATCAGAGCTGAGGGGATGGGCCTCCAGGGAGCGCCCCCCAACCCCTCCCCGGCTCTGTTCCCCCAGCCTGCGGGCGCCCGCGAATGCTGAACCGGATGGTGGGTGGGCAGAACGCCTTGGAGGGCGAGTGGCCCTGGCAGGTCAGCATTCAGCGAAACGGAAGCCACTTCTGCGGGGGCAGCCTCATCACGGACCGGTGGGTCCTCACCGCCGCGCACTGCTTCTCCAAGTGAGTCGGCCGCGCCCCACACTTCGCTCCCCGCCCTCCGCCAGCGGGGCCGGGGGCACAGATAGTGCAGACGGAACCGCCCCCTCCCCGCGCGCTGCCCGCAAACGCCGGGCTTCAGCACCACGGACAGCGCCAGCCTGCGGACAGCGGCGGTGCGGGGCGCCCAGGCCGAGCCCCCACAGCCCGAGAGAGGCTGCGTCTGTGACATCTGAGCCTTTCCTGCCAGGGCTCCCTTTGGGTCCAGCCTCGGGGCCAGCTTCCAGCAGCAGCCCCTGCTTCCGGGCTCTTGCTGCCCCCAGCCCAGCTGGGAGGGGTCCATTCCCCCCTCCGGGCTCTCAGTGAGGTGCTTTCGTCAGACAGGCCGCCCCTGCTGCTGGCCGCAGGCTCCTCCCGTTGCCTGCCTCTCTTCCTCGTCTCCTCCCACACCTCAAATCCAGACACTCCCTTCCTGGTTGGGACTCTGGGCACAGGTGGACGAAGCAGAATGGCCCTTCCTCCTCCTCACTCCGAGGTCACCTACAATGGCCCTAACCAAAAGGGCCACGCCATGACCCACCTGGTCCTGGCCTTCAGGGCTGTCCAGGCATCTCAGCTCTCGCCTCACCACAGCTCTTGCAATTCTTCTAAAATCTCACATCTCAAGTTCAGAAATCCAGGCTCAGAGGGAGCAGGCCACTTGCCTCAGGCTGGGCCCCGGTGGGTGATCACCTCCTTTGACCCCCACAGACAGCCTTTCAGGTGGGGGCTGTTACTGTCCCCATTTTACAGACAAGGAAACCGAGTCACAGAGAACTTGCTGGGTGACTTAGGCGAGGTGGCTGGGCCCGCCAGGGTGGAGCTAGGAATTAAAGGCTGCTTGGAGTTTACACCCTTTCCCACCTTATCCCGTAGTACAACCCCCTACGGAAGACAGAGTGTAGACTGAGCTGTCAGCACCCTGGGGAGTGGGGAGGAAGTCCAACTCCTCCCTACTTCTCACCTCCACTCAACTTCCACTGACGCCTCCAGGGCGGCCTCACGCTGGGTCTCTGCTCTCCCAGCAGCACCTCTGAAACACCCCTGTACCAGGTCCTGCTGGGGGTGTTGCAACTGGCGAGGCCAGGGCCACACGCTGTGTATGCCCGGGTGAAGCGGGTCGAGAGCAACCCCCAGTACCAAGGCATGGCCTCGAGCGCTGACGTGGCCCTGGTGGAGCTGGAGGCACCTGTGACCTTCACCAACTACATCCTCCCCGTGTGTGTGCCTGACCCCTCGGTCGTCTTTGAGACGGGCATGAACTGCTGGGTCACCGGCTGGGGCAGCCCCAGTGAACAAGGTACTGGGGGCAGGGAGGGGAGAGAATGGGTGACACGCCTAGAGAAGGCACCTTGGGGGCCACCCTGAACCAACCATATTCTGTTGAAACTGCTGCACGTGTGTTAGTCGCTCGGTCATGTCCGACTCTCTGTGACCCTGTGGACTGTAGCCCGCCAGGCTCCTCTGTCCAGGGGTTCTCCAGGCAAGAATACTGGAGTGAGTAGCCATTCCCTTCTCCAGGGGATCTTCCCAACCCAGGGATCAAACCCTGGTCTCCTGCACTGCAGACAGATTCTTTACCATGGGAGCCATCAGGAAGGCCCACAAGATCTCTACTCAAATGGGTGGAGTAGGTATGGGAAAAGGGCATCAGAGCCACAGGAAACAGAATGAGCCTGGCCTGGTGGGTGGCAGGCGGGAAGAAGGAACTCTGTCCCACAAAGCCTCCAGCCAGGAAAGAAGATCTAAAAACACAAGAGAAAAGCAGGTGGGACAGAGCTGCGGCTCTTGAGAAGCAGGGCCTGGCACCCACGGCGAGACTGTCCCGAGCCACACCTTGGATCTCCCCTCCGCAGACAGCCTGCCCAAACCCTGGACCCTGCAAAAGCTCGCCGTGCCCATCATCAGCACACCCAAGTGCAACCTGCTCTACAGCAAGGATGCAGAGTCCGGCTTCCAGCCCAGAACCATCAAAGACGACATGCTGTGTGCGGGCTTCGCTGAGGGCAAGAAGGACGCCTGCAAGGTGGGCCCTGGGGTGGGGAGGGCCGAGGCTGGGCCCTGTCCCCAGGCCCCAGGTGGAAACCAGCCCACCTGGGACAAGGGACAAGGCCCAGGAGGTTGGCCCACAGGGCCCAGACCAGAGCTGTGCATTCGACCAGCTGGCAAAGCAGGCTCCTGGGTACCCCCTGGGGGAGTTAGTCAGTGGGTCTGCGGTGGGACTCAGGAAGCTGCATTTTCAAGACACTTCTCTAGGTGATTCAGGGTGGGTAGTGTGGCAATGCTAGAGAAATGGGCACCCCAGGCTGGAGAGGAAGGACCGCGGGGGCGGGGGTGTCCTGGGCAGAGAAGAGCGAAGGGAGGGAGACAGGCGCGGGCAGTGAGCCGTGCAGCTGTCGGCCTGCATGCACCGAAACAGGTACCTCTGCTTCGGCCGCAGGGAGATTCCGGGGGCCCCCTGGTGTGCCTCGTGGGCCAGGTGTGGCTGCAGGCCGGGGTGATCAGCTGGGGCGAGGGCTGCGCCCGCCGGAACCGCCCAGGTGTCTACATCCGGCTCACCTCCCACCATGACTGGATCCACCGGATCATCCCAGAGCTGCAATTCCAGCGGGCAGGGCTGGGCGGTGCCCAGAAGCGGGACCCCCGGAACCTGCAGCCCCTTAGTCGTAACTCCGCACGCTGCCTGGCCGCCCGAGCCGTCCTCCTGGTCCTTGCAGCCCTGCTCGCCTTGCTCTGAGCCTTGCTTGGGCCGGGCAGCGGCTGCCCAGGTCCACGATGTACATTTGTAAATAACTCTCCAGTTCCCCCTCCTCTCAAGTTCCCGCTTATTTTTATTTATGTTGACTCTACAATAAAGACCCAACCTCAGGGCTGGCTGCCTGGGCGTGGCCCCTCAGCGGGCAGGGCAGGGGGTCTGGTGCTTGGGAGGGGTGTGGGGGCGAGGCTCCACACTGGAAGCTGGCCATCACCCAGCCCCACACAGGCGGCCTCCCCGCTCCCCCCCCCACCTGTGTCCTTGCCAACCTGATTGTCACCGTGTGTCACCAACAGGCACCCAGAGATGGCCCTGGGGACAGCAACCGACACTGGCAGGGGGCCCAGCAGAGCTCTGGAGGAGGGGGGCTCTGCGGGGCGTCGGGGAGCAACCCCCACTGCCCGTCCGAATCGCCCAGCAACGTCCCTTGGTGACGCACCCGAGGCTAAGATGCCGTGCAGAGGCAGGGGCTGCTCCCGGAGCCCCAGGGCCCCTCAAACCCCGGCTTCCTTTCCTCCACACCCTCCTTCCCTCCATGTTAACCTCCCCACAGGTGAATCTGAAGTTCCGGGGGGTGGGGGGCTGGAGTCGGAGTCCACACCAGCTGGGAGACGTTGGACAAGCCACTGGTCCCTCTGAGCCCGTTTGTCTCCTGTGACCCTGGGCAGCACCCCCACCAGCCTCCCGGGTCACGGCATGGACGGTAAACTCGTCTGGCAAGGCCCCACACCCACCTGGAAGCACCCAGGGACCCTACAGACCCAACAGCCCAAACACCCCCAGACCTGGGGATGCAGGGGTGGGCAGGGCCCTCCTGGAGTCTGCACGATGCCGTCCAGGCTCGGATGGTGTCACACAGAAGAGGGAGGCCCAGGCCACAGCGGGGGCATGGAGGTCGGCAGGTCAGGCTCCCAGGAGACAAGCAACAGCTCCCTAGGCCAGGACCCCCTCCATCCCCTTTCCTCCACGTTTGGGATTCAGATCGTGTTTGCCAGAGTCGTTCATGGTTTCTGTGAGGATCCCTGGGGATTCCCTGTCCACAGTACCCCCGCCCCAGTGCCACTGCCCCTCCCACCCCTTGTCCCACCAGCCAGTCCACCCCACTCCCCCCCCCGGCCTGGCCTGGGAATCCAGCAGGTGCAGAGCTCAGGCCCGCAGCCTGCTCCAACCCCATCATGGCCGCGACAGTGTGGCTGTCCCCGGAGGCCGCCCCGGCTTCTCCGCCTGGCCCACGTGTCCACAGCAGGCCTGCAGCCAGCCAGTCTGCTGCCCGGTGTTGGCCGATTCCTGAAAGGCAGCAGCTTCCCGCCCTGCTTAGTGACCATGAGTGGACCTGGGAGCCTGGGCCTTGCATGCCGCACACGTATGCCCACATGCTGGTCACAACACATGTACACCCATACAGACACACACTGCAGTTCACATTCACGTGGACACGCACCCAAGTGCACGTCCATGCACAAAAACACACACACATGTAACTGCGTGCATGGGCCCAGCTGGCCCGGCCGGTGCCAGGGGAACGCGGGCCTGGCTGTTTATGGAACGAACCAGTAAGCACTTAGCAGGCACCTGCTGCAGCCCGACCCTGGGGACAGAGACAGGAACAAACACTGCGTTCCTGTCCGCTCCGCTCTGCCCAGGCGTGCTCCTGGCGGGCAGGGAGTACTGCCCGGTGGCCCCGGGGAATGGGCCTTCTATGAGCTCCTTCTCCAGAGCAAAGACGGGCTCCGAGGCCTTGGGGGAAGGGGACGGGGGGAAGGCAGGGCTGCGGGCGTCCAGAGGATGGCCCCAGGGGCTGGGAGCAAGTATTGGCCTCGGTCCTGCTGCCATGGAGAGGCCACCCTTCCCAGGGGAGTAGAGAGCTCCAGGTCCTGCCATGGTGGGGTCAGAGGAGGGTGGGGCGGCCCATCTGCCAGCTCTTTCGAGAGAGGCCAGGGTAGGGCCACATGGGGATCGAGGAGCACTAGGCTCCCCTTGGAGGGCCTGCCACCCCATCTCCACCTCCCCCTGCCTGCTGTCCCAGCTTTCTAGGTGCCCTGGGGTCTCCCTCACCCCACCAGCCTCCTTCCTCTGCCACGGGGCGGCCAGCATGCGACTCCAGGGCAGATCCCCCATGTCCTGGGCTCCCAGACACCAGCCCCACCCAGACCCAGGCAGACACTCAAGGAGACGGGAGGGGAAGAGACTTTATTAACGCCGTTCACAGTGAGCTCAGAGCTGTGAAGTGTGGGTGGCGGTGTGCCCCCAACTGCCCCACCCCATCCTGAGAACCCAGCACAGGGGCCCCCAGCCGCAGGCCCCAGACTGGACCTCCATCTCCTCTTGGCCCTGGGCTCAGACAGGAGATGGGCACGTGCTGCAAGACTAGCTGCTCTGGGGTGTCTCCAAGCACCTGCCGGGCAGAGGGGCCTGGAGGCAGGTCCAACTTTGCTGCTGGCCTCAGGGAGCTGGGAGAAGGCACGTTTAGTCCTTGCAGAAAGCAAACGCCTTGGAGAATCTGAAGTCCTCCCCATGTGCCCCGCTATCCAGGGCACACCTGGAGCCCCACACCCACCCTCTGGCAGGCAGTCCCACTCGAGCTGAGCAGGCACTGGAAACACGACAGGCAGCCAGAGAGCAGCCTCCGAGGGCCGCAGACGTCCTAGTCCAGCAGGCGGCTGCTGCCCAGGGAGCCTCCCCAAAGCCTGAGGAGCCGCCCCAGGGGGGCCGGAGAGGCTGTGGGGGCGCTAAGGGAACTGTCTCTGGAGCTGGTGCTTCCAGCCAGGGAAAGATGTGCACACACTTGACTCAGTGAGGCATCGGCACTTTTTAAACGACTCCACAAGAGCTGGGGGAGGCGGCGGGGGCTGGCCTGGACAGGGGCCCAGGCAGCCGGCAGAGCTGCCGTGAGCCCAAGGCGGTGCTTCCGCGGTAGCAGGTCGTCCATGTGCTTTAAGACACTAACAGCTGTTCTGCTCAGTCATAAATACACAATTTTATTTGCTATTTTCAGGGGAAACTTAGGCATTAAACTGTAAGCTGATAAAATACGGATACCTAAAAAAGTACAAAAGTATAAATATCCCCTTAGAATAAATTTTAGTGAATTAAGTCTTAATATCTTTAAATTAAAAAAAAAACGAACAAACCACAAGCCTATCTATTTATGTCAAGGTCACAAATCAAACGACGCGAAGCAATCAGCAGCGCCCCACGGTGTCCCCGAGGCTCCGCGGGGAGGGCGGGTCTCGGGGCCGAGTGTGCCCTATGGAAAGGTTGGTGTGAAGCCAAACGCTGAACCACGCACAACAGACCTTACAAAAGGAGGTAAGTCCTAGTGCTGGAGAACTTGGTTCATCAGGTAATATTGGCAAAGAAGAAGAGGGGCAGGCGAGAAGCCTCCGGTAGCATCTGGAGCCAGGCAGGTCAGCGCCTGGACAGGATGGGGGCACAGGTTCCTGACAGCCAGGCCCCCCGACCCGCTGGGGAAGGTCAGCTCTCAAAGCATGCGGACAGCCGTCCTCAAAGGAATCCAATCCAGCAGCTCCAGCGTCAGGCGGGGGCAGGCCGTGCAGGCTCCTCCCCAGCGCCCCAGAAATGTCAGAGAACTGCATAGTTACACGAGAGAGCGCGAGCCGGCAGAGGGACGTCCGTGTGCGCTGTAAACACCCGATCTCCAGCGTGGCCTGGAGTCTCAGCTCCAGGAGCCCGTGGACAGGCCTCCCGCCCCGCCCTCCAGCCCAGGCGAGACCAAGGCACTGACGGGAGCCATCTGCCCCCGCGCCCCCGGGCGGGTCAGACGAGGCAAAACTTGTACCTCCCTTTAAATGACTTAACAGATCTGCCCAAAAGGCAGCAGCACTTTCAGGCGTCTCTAGGAAGTGAAAGCACTGGCAGTCTGTCCATACTGGGAAAGAAAGGACGCCACTGTCTCTTGTCTGGAAACTACAAACGGAGAAGCCTGGGTTGGATGGGCCAGGTCAGGCCCGGGAAGTAGTGAACACGTGGAGGTCGGGAGAGACCACCAAGCCGTCACGTCTGGGAGGCACAGCAGACCCCCTGCCCCAAGGACCAGGGTGGCCGGTGGGCACCCAGAGCCCGGGGCCCTGTGCCCACCTCCTACCAGCGAGGTCCAGGCTCCGTTACAGACTGTTTATGTAGCACCAAGAACGCAGTCCTTGAAATGATCTTCGGTGATATAAGGGTCAGTCAGGAGCCCTGCCTCGGGCCCGAGCGGCACTTGGGAAACCAAGCGGAGGTCCCCGCAGAGATGCCCACGCAGCAGAAGCCGCCTGCACGCAGCAATGCCCGGCTTCGGACAGCTGGGCCCGTCTCTCACCACCCACCTCAGAGGCAGAAAAAGCATTCACACCCAAATCTCTAGAGAAATTGTCAAAAGCACGTTTCTTCCACGGCCAAGCTTCCTCGACATGGCGGATCATTGCATCTTGGGAAAAGGTAAAACGTCTCTTCAGCTTCAACACTGTTCCTCACATCCTCGAGCCCCGTTCTTGCAAAATCTGAAAATGCCAAAGGCAGACAGTGAGGACTCAGGCCGTGAACAGAAAGGCAGCTTTGTGGGCTGCGACCCGGGAAGCAATGGACGCATGGAGGCTGCGGGAGACCACCGAGTGAGCCCACGGGCGGGGCAGTCACGGGCCTGTCCCCATGGCGCCTCCGGGACTGCCTGAGACTCACCAGCGCAGCCCCGGGGGACAGCTCCTCACTGAGGCCCAGAGGATCCCAGCACCGTCTCCCTCAACGGCCTCCCAAGGGCGGGAGGCTCCCCACTCCCAAGGGTGCCAGCACCCACCTGGGTGTGAACTGCCCCCAAACCTTGATTTTCTTTCCAGCCCAGCTTGGTCCAGGTGGAAGACACAGGTGTGCGACCAGGGCCCCCGCCCAACCGGCCTCTTTTTCCTTCCATGCCCCACTGCAATCCACACCCCTCCACCTGGCCCCCAGGCCTGCCTGTCACCCCCTCATCCATACACTGCCTGGCTGAGTCTTGTCTTCTGTAACCAGACCCCCAGACTGGGGGGCCAGCTCCCTCCTTGTAACCAGACGGGACTGGGACACACTTCTGACCCCTGGTACCAGGACAGGAAGGCCACTGTCCGGCCAGGCTGACCCAGCCCAGGCCAAAGTGGTCAGATGACCTTCCCTGCGACCTCACTGGCAGCGAAAGAGGCCTCCTGGGGGCATCTTCCACTTGGTTTCAGAGCTGAGAGAGATAAGGCCTTGAGGAGCGGTGCTGAGCCCTGGACCCCCTGCGCTCGGGCCGTGCCTGGCAGGGCGAGCTCACACAGAGGCCAGTCAGGTGAGGCCCTGTGGGCACCAACAGACTGCTGTCTCAAGGCCAGCGGCTCCCCACCAGCACAGCCGCCCGGAGCCAGGCATCCAGCTATCACGCCCCGCGGGCGTGTTCCAGTGACTCAGAAGTTCAAGCTCTCCGGCCAACCCCGACAGCCCCCGCCTGCCTCGGCGTCCGACAGCTCCGGGTCTCCAGGCCGCCCTCCCACCCTGCCCACCACCGGCCGCCCAGGAGGTGCACCTTCCACCAGGCTGGGGGGGCCATGGGCAGACGGCCCCTCCTCAGGCTGGACAGGGCAAGCCCCCAACTTGGACTCGCCCTAGCCCTGTGGCAGTCAGAACGAAAAGCTGGAGTCTGGGGGGCCGCGAGCTGCCCACTCCGTGGAGGCCAGCAGGGCAGCGGGCGTCTGAGCTCACAGGGCTGAGACATGGAAAGGTCAAGGCAGGCTGAGAGTGAGGGACTGCGCAGGAGGGAGCAGCCCGCTGCAGCCAGAGCCCCAGCACTGTCTGCACATGAGGGCGGAGACCCGGCTCGGGAGCTGCGGTGGACATGGTCCGTCTCCCGGGACGGGCTTTCACCTCAGCCACCACAGGCACAGAGCAGGCCAAGCCTGGCACGCAGCAGCACGGCCTCCAAGGGCCAGGGCCGCTCCAGGTCCAGGGCAGCACTCCCAGTGGGCCACGCCCGGAGTTAGGGTCTCCTGCCGGCACACCCGACAGCTATAACCAAGCTGGTGCTGAAAGAAGCCCCACCCTCCTCCGGGAGGTTGGCTCCTCTGCGCTCCCGCACCCCCAGGGTGGCTCACCTCCGGCCGGGCTGAGGTTGAGCTGAGCCCTAAGGGGCGGTCACTCCAAGCTGAGAGGGGCCCCACCCGCAAACTGCACGCCTGACTCCAGGCTGAGAAGAGGGAAGTGAGACCCCTCATTGATTTCTTGGGTGAAACGAGTGTCAGGCCCGTCACAGCTGACGGTCTTTGCACCCATTCCCTGTGTCCCTTCTCTTTGTCCACGTGGACGCTGGAAAGTTTAAAACGACAGCTGGAGCCCGCGCTGCACCAGCCCAGACCAGGCCCTGCAGACTTTGCTCAAAGGGCCAGGCGGCAGACACCACACGATTTCTGGGTCAAGAGGCACACTGAGGATATGTACTCATACAGCCACCAGAAAAACCACCACTAACAACGAAGAAGCCATTCTTGGCCCGCACCCCCAGACCAGACCTCAGGGCACCCCGGGAGATGCCTGCGCCTGGCTCCTCAGAGCTCCACCTCCATTGGCCGTGCAAGGGGGCAGGCCTGGCACTCGCTGATGATCAGGTTCTGGCCAGGCAGCAGCAGGGGCCTGACAAGCAGCGGGGCCAAGGGGCGCCCCGGGGTCTCTGGAAACAGCCAACTAGAGGGTCGGCACAGACCCCTGTCCACCAGCAAGCCTCATGAGGTATGGGGAGCAGGGCGTCAGGGCCCCCCTCTGAGGCACAAGAGCAACTCCTCGGCCCTGAGCCCGGGGACTGGCTGGGACAGGGTGGAGAGACTGTGAGGCACAGGCCCGAGGCCCGGCTGCGCCCCCAGGCCAATTACACACAGCGCCCGGGGGCCTCGGCCCAGGTCCCACCCCCATGCGGGCATCCTCCGGGGGACAGACAGCCCTGCTCCCGGACAGGTCGGCGCTGGTACTGAGCACGGAAGGGCCTCTGTCAACTACAGGTGTGGACAGACGCGGCGGGGGAGGTGGGAGTCAAGGACGCAAAGGTGCGTGGTCAGATGGAGGGTGGCAGGCTCACCGTGACATTTACACTTAATCTGAGTCACTGTCACCGGGACCCGTGTCCTCGTCGTCACTCTGGCTCGGCACGTGGCGGGCGGCAGGGAGGAGAAGAAGAGAGGGCGCGTCAGTGTGGGCGGGGCGGGGGGCGCCCACCCTTCAGTGCAGGCAGGGCGGGGGCGGGGGGAGCCCACCCAGACGGGCCAGACTCCTCGGAGCAGCCATGCTGGCCACAGCGGAGCGAGCCATGCCGTCCCTGGGCCCCTGAAGCTGCAGAGTTCTCCTTCCCTCTGCGTCGTGAAGCACTGGGCCAGGCCCAGAGTTTGGTCGTTACCCTCGGCTCCTGGGAGGCCATGACCTCCAGGACACACCAGAGTCTGACCGTGTGATGGGGGTGGGGTCAGCTGGCCAGGGGGCTGGAGGCTGCGATCAGGCACATAGGTGATCAATCACTGATCCACGGATCAATCACGCCTACCTGACCAAGCCCCGCAGACTGGCTGGACACAGAGACTGGGGGTGCGTCCCTGGGGGCAGGGCCCCGCGGCCCAAGGGGCACCTCTGAGCGTGAACTCCAGGTGGGCCCACTTCCTGGCCTCTGCCCCACACCCGCGTCAAGCTTCCTGTGCGCGTAACGGCGGGCAGTGAGCTCTGAGTGACGCGGCCGTGCCTGACCCGGGCGCCTGGGCCCCTCGTCCGGTTGCCCCGCCCCCGCTCTCTTGGGTCACTTCCCCGGAGACGCGAGTGTGGGGGAGGCCAGCCCGGCCGTGGCCCAGAGGGGCCACCGTGATGGGGCCCTCGGACACACAGCACTGCTACCCCCAGACAGCGCGCAGGTGCCCCCAACGATGCCCCACAGCTCCGAGGCCCCCTCTGCTACCACCCCCATTTAGAAGCTGCTGCGGTAACCACACTCCAGGGCCAGGTATTTCTGGAGAGAGAAACAGGGCCGCGCTTTCATTGGCAAAGGGATCTGGGGTCACACCCGGTGGCACAGACGCGTCCTCCTGCGGCTGAAAACCACCTGAGGACGATGAACCAAGTGGTTGCCTGGGGAGCTCGGCTACGAGAATTTTTCAAGTTCAGAAATAAAAGCTGCTAAAAACAGACAACTTACAAAGGAGCCCTGCAAACGCTCAGGGAGACGACGCTTCTTTGGAGGCTGAGGCTCTCGGGAGATGGGCCGACTCCAAGCCCCTGAAGCCCCACCCAGGCAAGCCACCAGTGCCCCTCACCTCCAGACCCCGGTGGAGCCCTGGTGAGGAGGCGCCTGCAGCTCCTGGAGAAGGAGGGGAACGGCCACCACGGAATGTGGGCATGCCTCTAAGGAAGACCCTGAAAGGCTCACGGCAACAGTTGTAGGCCTGGAGCAGGTGGGGTGTCCTCTGGGCAAGAGTGTGGGGAAGGCCAGGGAGCCGTAGTTTAATGTCATCAGTCAAAACCCTCCTGACTCTGACCTTTCCCACACTCCCTCAGAACACCTCTCACAGCCGCCTGAGCCTTCCACCAGGGCCGTCTGCAGGCCTGGCCTCATGGGCTGGCCGCTACAGAGCCCCTGGGCACCCCTGAGCCAGCTGCAGGGTTGTCCAGGCACCACTTGGCCCGCAGGTTCGGAAGTCCTGCCCACGCCGACGCTGGACTCTGCACAGACAGACACATGTGGAGTCCTGATCCAGGGACGAGCCCAGAAGACGTGCCCTTAGAACCTGTTGCCTTCGGGCAAAGGTAGCAACAACTCCCTGCTGGTTTCACTCGAGCTGCTCTGGGGAGAAGTGCCCGCTGGCCTGCAGGGAGGGGCCAGTGCCAGGCCGAGACTGAGCTCTGTGGAATCAGAGAATCACACACCCACCAGATCTGCTCCGTCTACCCCCACACAGGTGATGGGAGGCCCTGCCCTCCAGTCTCAACGTCCCGTCCCCAAGAAAACACCACTCAGAAGGGCAGGCCCCACCAAGGAGGGCACTTTTAGGAGCAGGCCTGTGGGCAGGGGTGGGGGCCTGGGTGTCCAGCGACCCCACACCCCACGGCCCAGGGACCTCTGCACCCTCCATTCCCAAGTTTTGTTCCCAACACGCCCAGGGTGAGTAAGAAACGACAGAGCAGACGCACAGGGCGAGCGGGCGGCTAGGAAGCCCGTGAGGCCGCAGCGCAGGGATGACGGTGAGCGGCGACGCGGGAAGGAGGGAGCCAGCCCCGCGGGCAGAGGGCACGGCGTACCCACCTTGGCTTTCTCACTGGGCTCGCTGGCGGGGCCATGCGGCGAGTTGTGCAGCTCCTTGGAGACCACACACAGGAACTCGGCCTGGTCCTCGCTGCCGTAGTTGTAGGAGGAGCCGATGCTGACCAGCTGGGGGAGAGAGGACCAGTGGGATGTGGGTCAACAGCCACCCCCCAGCTCAGGACCAGCCCCACCGGGAGGGAAGCCTTCAGAGACACCCAGCCAGAGAAGCCAGGGACAGGGTTCAGTTGAGAGACTTTTTATGAACTTGCTGAAAACACAGTCTCCAAACACCTGGGGTCAGGCTCAGATGCATGCGTGCTTGTGCACGCACACACGCGTGCCATTCGGGACTGGCCTCCGGTGCCGCGTGTCCAGCTCTTCTCGGGGGTCCTGGCTGGGCCCACAGGGGACGAGCAGTGAAAGGGGGGGGAGCATGGTGCTGGAGCCGGCACCAAGCAGGCAGGGCGCTGGGGGACGCCTTGGAGCCGGGCCCAGGAGCAGGAGGGGGCCACAGTGCTCTGTCCTGCCTGTGAGCATGGGCCAGAGCACATGTGCGTGAGCACACGCAAAGGCGAGACCCTGCAGGGAAGCCAGGCTGGGGCTTCCTCGCTCCAGGGCTGCTGGCCAAGGAGGGCCGAGCCAGCCCCTTTCATGACAACTCACAGGGGCGCCAAGGACAGTGTGATTATTTCAAACACCCCTAAAAGGGGTCACCTTAATCAGCAGAGATGCCGGGAGGAGCCCTGTAATTTCTCCCCTTGGCAGTCTGCTCCAGGGGACAGTGTCAGGAGCCAGAGGGCCAGCGGGGTTATGGGGTCGTTAGGTTAAACCTCAGAGTCTCAGCCTGAGACACATGGACAGGGACACTGATCTTGTGGGGCACTGCCCACTCACAGGACACCCTGGCCGCGGGCAGAGGCCCCCAACAGGCTTCGGGCCCCTGGGACAGGGGGCAGTGTGCCTGCGGGACTGTCAAGAGCGCCCTGGATAGGGCGGTGGGCGGGCGGGCAGAAGAGACTCTGCTCTCGGCCCTTCTCCCTGTGGTCCTGCCGGGGCACTGCTGAGGAAGCAAGTGGCTGGGTCAGGCCAGAGTCAGCAGCGCTGCTCAGTCACGGGAAGGACTGGGCAGGAGCCCTCCGGGCAGCACCCCCAGGAAGGGCCCTGGTGCCAACAGCAGCACCAAGAGCCTGGGGGGCCGAGGCAGACACAGGCCAGTGGGTGGGGAACACACACACACAGATACACACACACACCTATATACACAAGGACGGACACACACACACACACACACACACCGACACACGTGCACAGGCATACACACAGATATACATGCATACGCACATGCAGATACACATGAGCATATAGATATACACAGGTACACAAGCACACAGATACACACACACCTACATACACAAGGACAGACACACGCACACAGATACACACACACCTACATACACAAGGACGGACACACACACACTCACCGATACACACACGTGCACACGCATACACAGATATACATACATACGCACACACAGATACACACAGCACACAACCACACACATGTACACACACAAACACACGTATATACACGAGGACACACGTACAAAAATATGTAGACACAGATATGCACACACACGTATATACAGAAGGACACAGATATATGTACACACACAAGTACATACACAATCACACACGCACACAGAAGCACACACATATATACTCAAGGACACATACATACACGTACACACACACACACACACACGCACACAGAGAAGCCCAGGGAACAGTTGTACCACAAAGAAGTGACTGGACGAGGAAAGATAACTGTGGAGCCAAGATTGGGCAGTGGGACCCTGAGACCAACTCCTGCCGCCCCCAGCCCCACGCCCCGCACCCATGGGTGATCCAGCCTGGCCTGGCACAGGCTGCTGCTGGTGAGAGAGGTGGGGGACACACCGGGGACCAAGCTTCCAGGAACCGCAGGCCGCCCGACGCCTCATTACTGGTCCCCGGAGCCAGCTGCCCTGAGCACCGGGCAGGGCCTTGGTAATCAGAAGCTTCACCGCCCTGTGGGCTCAGAGGCCATTACCTGCTCGAACTTCCAGCCGTCGGACATGGTGGAGACCATTTGTGTGAGCTCCTCCTCCTGACACTGCAGGACACGGTACACGTGCTTCACCGGCACCTGAGAGCAGCCACGGGTGAGCGTTCCCGTGGGGGCCACGCCGGGGACAGCCACGGGGCCCCCCACCTCTCAGCCCAGGTCGTGACGCCCACAGGAACCCCAAAGATATCCACAAAGCAAAACAAACATGCTGGAACAGCTGCCGCGCCCTGCTTCCCCATCCACCAAAAATATTTCTACTTCTAAATTCCAAAATAAAATGAGTCATGTTCCTGAAACCCCAAGAGCACCTGTGGCTGGATGCGAACGCACAGGGGCAGCCCCGCCAGCACCCTGGGGAGGCGCACCAAGGTCTGACCCAGCGGCAGTGCCAGGCAGGACCGACCCGGGCCCGCCCCGGGAAGACAGTGCTCAGCGGAGCACGTGGCTGGACGGGAGCCCATGGGCCTTCCCATCCGCCCACGCCCACCCCAAACTCCACCCAGCTCCGCTCCCAGCCCAGGGCACACGGCCAGAGCTCTGCCCTGAGGCCGCCCCAGGGACAGGGTCGCAGCCCCAGTGCTCCGGTCGCCATAGGGCCCCAAAGCCTTCACCTGGGACACAGGGAGGGCGCAGAGTGCTGCCCTGTCTGTGGGGGCCTCTCCCATGTCCCCACGGGCACAGATGGCCAGGCCGGCCCAGTCACAGGGTTTGTCTCCGAGGGGGCTGGCAGCGGGGAGCGAGGCCGCACACTGGCCGGAGATGACTGCGGAGCCTGTGGCCACCATCACCTGCCCTCCCCTGGCCCCTGACCAGCCACCTGGAGCAGCCGATGGTCAGCAAGCTCTTCAGAGAGGCCGAGAGGGCCAGCCCTGGGCCTGCAGGCCCCCGGGGAGAAGCCCGGCTTGGAAGGCAGTGGCAGGGCGGTGAGAGGGCAGAGAAGCTTAGTCAGGAACACGGGCTCTCAGGGAAGGCGTGAACAGCGGCCCCGGGCAGGGGCCTTACTGCAGCCACCGCAGAGCTGGCACCACGACAGAACCGCTGCCGAGACCCTCAGGACCCTGCCTCAGGGACAGTTGCCAGACAGCTGCCTCAAAAAACACCAGCCCAACAGGCAGTGGAGTGCCCACACTGGCTTTGGCACTGCTGACTGTGGCCACATGCAAACAGGTCCCACGCGGACTCCATACCCTTGGGACAGGGTCAGCATCAAGAGCTGTCCACTGAGCCCTTCCTTCCCGATCAGAGCCAAGCCCGCTCTGCCTACACCCCCGTCCCCATCAGCGCCAGCCCACCGCCAGCTCCCCCATGCTCCCCGCCAGCCTTCCAAATGCGCCAAGGACTTGGCCACCACAGGACCTTCGGACTTGTGGAGCTCTGCCTGCAACATCCGCCCCGAGATGATGGCTACACACACAGGCCCGTGTAGGCCTCTCGCTCTTCCTCCACCCCTCCTTGCTGGCCGCGGCGCCAGCTGGCAGGCACTGCGAGAGGTGCCTGGAGGGCAAGGTAGGGCCCCAGGACAGCTCCAGAGGAACTGGTCAGCTGGGAGAAGGGAGCGAGCTGGTCACCAAGCAGGGCTTGGAATGTTCTGGTGCCAGTCGCCCATCTCACCTGTGATGTTTTGCTGTCTCGCTCTCTAATTTTGTCCTTGACAAGTTTTATTAGTGAGGTGATATTGTAAAATTCTGCTTCCTCCAATACCCCTAGGATAAAGAAAAATAACTGATTTCCACCAGATCAAATAAATGCTGTGTCTCTGCCCCACAGTGAACCCAAGGCCCATGCACAAATAAAACACACAAAACACACGTGTATGCACTTAATAGATGCTGCAGAAAAAGATGCAGACAGGTTGGTCGCAGGAGCAAGACGGGCCAGAATGAAGGAGGGAGTGGGTGCAGCTCAACAAGCAAAATGGGCCGAGACCTGGGCCCTGAGGACACCCGGCTCCATGCTGGGAGCCGGAGCACGGCCGGCATCTGCAAACACAGGCAGAACGCAGAGGGGGTGACCAGGCTGCCCCGGAGGGGAGCAGACCCAGGGTGGCCGACCCCAGGAGGTATATGGCCCCCAGGTTGTGTCAGCCAGGACCCCTGGAGAGAAGTGAACCCCGGGCCAGAGCTGCCCTCCCCAAAGGACAGGGAGTGAGCTGGGGAAGGAGCGGGGCTCCGCTCCGGGGGCTGGAGGGCCCTCACCGCCTGCCCCGCCCCCTCTGACTCACCTTCCTCGGCCAGGTCTTTGTTTATGACCAGCTTCCCGTGTCTCAGGTAGTTCAGCACGGGCCCGAAGTAGGTGGGGTCTCTGTCGATTAAGTAGGCACCTGTTTCGTCCTGCAGAAAGCAAGAGACCAGCTGAGCCCAGACAACAGGGCGGTTTCTGCAGCTGGCTGCCAGGCCACAGCCAGAGAGGTCTCACCCACAACTGGTGCATCAGTGCTCGTGGTACTTCAAGGGAGCCATAAGCAGCGTCGCCTGCCTCAGCCACCTGCGGCTGCTGACCCTGACCCGTCACCACTGCAGGTGAAGCCGAGTCTCAGCTCTGTGGCAGCAAGGTGACCCCCATTCAGGGGCAGGGGGCTGTGCACAAGGCCTCTCTGCTCAGCTCCCAGGACTCCTGAGGCGGGTGCACCTTTCACTCAGTCAGGCCCGCCCCCTAGTGACCCCACACTCTCCCAGGGACAGCGGCTGATGCCGGGTCGGTGTCTGAAGGCCTTGGAGACCCGGGCTGCCCTCCTCATTTCGGGGTTCCTCCCTGGACAGGGCTGGGGGTGGGGTCCCAGGCTCAGGGAACAGAGCTTCCCTGTGACTGACCACTGAGGACGCCTCCCTGACAGGAGGCGGTTCCCGGGCCTGTCTTCAGAAGGCGCCCCTCTGCACCTGGTGGGCCCTGCTCCCCCCACAGGGCCAGGGTCTTTCTGATCCCTCACTGCCCGCGGGGGGTCCTCAGCGTCAGCTCAGTGGCCATCGCAGGCGTGGCCGAGGGAGGTGGGCACACACGCCCTGGCAGAGGGGAGGCTGTGGTCCCCACACGTGGGGGCGCCCGCGTGGAGGCCTGTGGCAGCCCTCGATGCACAGGCAGGGCAGGGTCTGTGCGGAGGACAAGGGCCACGGCGTCTGGGGTCCAGGGAAGGCCACGGTCCCGCCTCTTCCAGGACACCGTGTCCTGGGCTGCACGGCTCTCTGGTCTGCTGAGTACGACCTGGCCTGGGCTGCCGGCAGGGTGGGGGACTGAGCGGCTCCTCCCCTTCCCTCGGCACCTGGACCAAGGGCCCCAGGACTCCGCTGAGACAAGGTGGCTCGTAAGTCAGGAAGCATCGGCCTGGCCTCCCTGTCCAGAAGGCGCCTGCCGGGATGAGGCAGAGGTCCTAGGAGGGGGTGCAGTAGGACCCCCGAACCTCCTGGACGAGGTGAGCCTGTGGGTAACAGAGCCACTCTCAACCGTGAGGTGACGTGCTGGGCGAGCGCTCCCTTCTCCCTCGTGAGCATCAGATCCCGGAATCTCATGGAGTAAACCTGGGGGCCTCAGGGGTTTTCTGTCAAGTCCATGAGGAGGAAAGGCGAACTCTGGGATGGACCAGGGGACAAGAGCACGTATGCCTTCCATCTACTTCTACCGTTTTCTATCTTGACTGCCTCCGCACGAGAGCATGGCTGCCCAGAGCTGGGCACCCACCCATCCTCAGGGCACAAGCGCTAGCTCCCCGGGGTCCCAGGACCCACTGCCTGAGCTGGCCTCCAGGGGACGGGGCCAGTTGGAGTGGGCTTCAGGGGGGCCCCTGACACTCCACGCATCTCCCCTGCAGTGTCGCCAGCTGAGGGCGGGACACTCAGTTCAGCAGCCGCCATGCCGGCCCCAGCTGCGCGGCCCAGCAACCCCTCTGGGAGGGAACCCCCGTCCTGGCCCTGGAAGTGCAGGCGCCGGGCACCCTGAGACGCTGCAGGGAAGAGGCCACCTTCTGGCAGCGACGGGCCCACCTCTTCAGGGCGGACCTGAGGAGGCTTCTCGGCGGCCTCCTCGTGGACCCCACACAGCTCTCAGGCCCAGTCTCTTTGTGAGCACCTGTTCTAACCGGAAGGGCTTCCTTAAGAAACAAGGTCGAGACTCCAGAGTCAGGACGGACTGAGCAGCCGGGGGGGGGGGGGTGCTCATTCTACAAGGCGCATGGGCCCCCCAAATTCCACTGGGCTTCATCTTGGGCCCCCGCCCAGAAGACCGTACATGCTCACTTAAGGCACACAGGCAGGAGCTCTGCAGAAACCGCACCCGCGCTGGAGCCCGCGCTGCTGCAGTGTGTCTGCGCCGGCGAGGGCAGCTGTGCCCTGGGCACTAGGCTGCACCTGGGGCGCGCCAGGGCCCTGGGCCCTCAGGCTGTTTGTGTGTAAGCAGCCCCGGGGCATCCAGCCTAAGGCAGAAATAAAGAAAAACACAGAGCACAGAGAAAGAGAAGACCCCTACGTCCCAGATTCAGCAGCCTCAGGCTCACTTGAGCCACAGGACAGGGAGGGCAGTCTCCGTGCTGTCCAGTTGGGAGGATAAGCTTGTGACGTGCGCCTGGCCTGGCCAGGCAAACAACAGGCAGGAAGACTCGAGGATCTCTCTCCTGCCCTCAGTTTACCTAACAAGCCTGTGTCACATTCTTGAGGCTTGAGGTTTTTATTTTTTTGTAAAAGAGCCAGAATTAAGATTGCTTGCTCAACAAACCCTTTTTTTATTGACTATCCCCTCTTCTCACTGAGTTAGCATTTGACCTACTTCCGCAGTGCTGGCTTTTAAATATACATCCACCCTAAAGTCTCAGAAGAGAGAACTGCTGAACTTGGTCATGAATATTTAACAGAGGCCATGCCCACCACGCGCCTCTCACTGTCTGCTCGCTCCCTGCCCTGGGCTGAGCCTTGGGCTCCAGTGAACAGTGAACCTGGGCCTTGGCCCACAGAGGCAATGCCCTGGCCATGGCCAGGAGCGCCCTGCCCGCGTTCCTCCTCTGGAGAAGCCCACGCCACAGGCACCCAGGGGACCCCTGACCTGCAGTCAGAGTAGGGAGGCAGGGAGGGGAATCCCGATGGGAGATCCTGTGTGCCACCCCCGCCCCCTCCAGCCCCTGGTGCTGGTTAGGAGGCAGCGCGCCTGCCTGCCTATGCCAGGCCCGCACAGTCCAGGCAGGCTTGAAGGCCCTGCCCAGCAAGCACCGTGGGTCACAGCAGGAAGCCACCCACGCAAAGGGCCATAAAAAGGAAAAGGGTCATAAGGGACAAGGGTGGAGAAGTTGGGCCCTCAGGTGAGACTGTAAACAGAGACGAATCCTGTTACCATCTCACTGTACCCGGCTCCTCTCAGCCACCTTCCCAACCACAGCAAACACACCAGGAAACAGAACATGATCGCGGTTGTTGGAAGAGAAACGCACGGCCACCGGAGGCTACAAGTTAAGGGGGTTGAGTGTCCCCAGCTAAACACAAGGTGGGCTGTCAAAATTACCCATCTGAAATCTAAATGCAGAAGTGTGCAGTTATCTGTACACAAACATCCGCGATCAACATAATTAGAAAGACGTTTCACTCTGAAATTATCCATTTAAGGGATTCTGTGTCACTTAAAACCTTCACCTCTGCCCTCTTTTCTCTTTTGTTTTCTACCGTTTGGCAAATCACTGACCTAGAAGAGGCCTGAGACATCACCAGTTCCAAATGTGGAAACAGAAGCCAGAGAGTAGAGGCCCACGCGGGCAGCGGCCGCGCTGACGAGTGTGGGAGAGCCGGTGGCCCTGACCCCACGCCGCCCTGTGCACCTGGGTGGGGCACCCCCACGGCACAGGCAGGGAACAAAAGGGAAGCAAGGCCCTGGGCTCTTGGGGCCCCAACCCCTGGGTGCCTTGCAGTCCTAGTGTGGCTTAGGAACAGAATCTAGGGTGACACCCACGACTCCAATGAAGCTCACTCAGAAGCAAACCACAGGATGTGTGACAGGACCCCCACACGAGGCTCCTGGTTCTTCTCTTAGAACCAACGTGCTCCCAATCCACCAGAGGGTGGGGGGTGTGGGGAATCACACCAAGCTCCCTGAACAAGCAGAGATGGCTCATAGGACCTGGGCCCGCTCAGAGCTGACACCATATCAACTGTGTGCAGAGATAGGGGCCGGGCACCCAGGGTGCGGGCCAGTTGTGAGCAGGATGCCATGGGGAGACCCACGAGCCATAAACACCTCAGTCAAAGGCAAGGGGGCAGCCACCTGTCCGGACCTCTCAGGTACTTCCCTGCCTACAGACAGTCCAGTTACAGAACACCTGCACAGAAATCCCCTACAGATGCCATGCTACTTATCTTGGTGGGGGGAGAGAGAGAGAGGAGAGGGAGGGGAGAGACAGCAAGCGTGCGCGCGAGCAGCCAGGAGGTCACCCTGAGGTGGAAACAGGCAAGAAGCCTGGGACAGAAGCACCCGCAGACAAGGCCCAGGGCCCCTGGCACAAAGCTCCCCAGCAGCTCTGCCAGCCTGGAGGTGGGGCCCCTCAGGCCCGGAGACTCCGGTCCCCTGGATGCCAGTTACAGCGGGCAGGCAGGACACTGCAGCCAGGACGCCGACCGCAGGCTCACGCTGCACCCGCTGCTCCCAAAGCCCCCACGGCACCGCCCTGCTGGTTCCCGGCAGCCTCTGTTCTCTGAGCCCGGCCCTGCTGGCGGAGCGAGTGCAGAGTTCACCCTCCCTTTCTGCTGGGCCGAAGGGCAGGCCCACAGCTCCTCTGTGCCCTCACCCAACTCCGTGCTCACCGAGGCCTGCCGGCCTCTCCCTTACTGCTTTGAGAAGCCCGCCTTGGTCTGTTCAGCAGCAGAGGGGCTCCAGAGCCAGCCCCAGCTAAGTCTGACTTGCAAAGCCGGCCAGGAACCTGGACACCCAGCCTGAGGACACCAGAGCACCCCGGAATGGACCCCGGACACCGATAAGAGATGCAGGGTACACAGCCTCCCTGAGACCAGGAGCCTGCCCCAGAGGCACACGGGAGGAGCTGCGCCCTGCAGGCTCGAGGGCATCAAGGTCCTTGTGAGCAGGGAAACCGTGCCCCTCCCCCACGGCACAGCCCCAATGCCGCGCTGGGAACGGACCCCCAGGGCCTGTCCTGAGAACTGGCAGCTTGGGAGGCCTCCAAGGAGGTCTGCAGAGCCCAGTGTCCACGCCCCACCACGGGGCTGGCTCAGCAGCCCGGACTCCCTGCCAGCGGCATGAGGTGTGCACGCCTGAGTGAGTATGTGTAAGTGACAAATGGGAACAAAAAACAAGTTCCGAGCAAGAAAACAACATTCTTGGGACACTCTTTCTAAAAACAATGTACGGAGGTAAATAAAGCCCAGGGAGTGCCATCTCTATTTCCTGCGCTGACGCAGCGTGGGGCAAGTGGCAGGGGAGCTGACGCCAGCGTCCCTGGTCCTCAAACTCCCCTGGGACTCTGGCTCAGAGAGGTCCGGGAACTGCCCCACATCAGGGCAGGTTGGGTTATGGGTGGAGTCAAAGTCAGGCGTGAGTCTAACTTGGCCACCAGGAAAGACGTCCTGCACCCCAACCCCCGCAGCCCACCAACTCTAGACCACAATGTGCTGGGTGCTCTGCAGGCTGGGGAGAGCTGCCCAAGGGAGGCCTGGGGAGCGCCCCGTGCTCGAGGGGGCCTGCGGGCTCCCTGGCCACGCAGACTGTGCCCTGGGTACCAGGCAGAGTCAGTGCGTTTAAAGATGGTCAGCCCAGTGACTGCGGTCCTCAGGCACCTCCGGAAAGAAGCCGAGCATGGCCACCCCAGGGGAATGTGGCCACAGCCAAGCCCCGGGAGCCGGCATCTTTACGTTTGTACAACTCTGTTTGCAAAACAGGCAGGTGGACCACAGCTTTCTGACTGCTGCTGGAAACCGAGGCCAGTCACTGGCCCGCCGGCCAAGAGTGAGTGAAGGCCGCCCAAGCTGTTGGCAGAAAGAGGAACTGCTCTGCAGCAGACGACCACTTCCTCCCGGCCTCCCGCGGACGGCCGGGTGGCCGAGTCCACTGGCTCGCAGCAGCTCTCCCCCAGAAACAAGCCCTTTCTCGGGACGCCCCTGCTCTGCCGCACGGGCTGGTCAGGGCAAAGGGACCTTGTGAAGAGATGACCGCGGCATCCTCAGCGAGTGAGCCCCCCTGCACTGGGACAACCCCCGCCAGGGGTCTGAGCCAGGCCTGGGGCCAGGGCTGAGGACGCTCTTGGAACTCAAGTAAAGTGTGAGATGAAACGCACAGCCCCTGGGGACCCCCAATCCTGCCTCAAACCAGACCCCAGCCCTCTTGGTGGGGCTACGATGCTCACAGCCTTCGCCTCTGACTTAGTCACACAGAACATAATCTGCCGTTTCACTCTAAGTAATCCCCACTTCTCCTGCCAAGCGGCTTAAAAGATAGTCCTTCCACCCACACCCCCGTCACTTAGGCCTGTCTGCGAAACTCCTTTCACTATCGTTCTAATCCTGAAACTCTAGCCAACACCTGGGGGTCAGCACAGGCCAAGACCTGTGTGGGATACAGCATGTCGTCAGAAACACCTTGATGGCCCACCCCTCAGAGACCCACCTGATGCCCCCTCACCTGCAGCCCCGAAACTAGGACAAGGGCCCTGCTGAAGGGCAAAGGCCGGTGAGAAACGCAGTTTTCTCCAGACCTGGCTCAGCGGCACAGAATGAACCCCCTCCCCTGCAAATCCTACTTAATCTGAGTGGTTTCCAACCACCAAGCAGTATTTCCTGTTTCCCGCTAATTCCTAAAGCATCTCCCCACAGAAGCAGGGACAGACTCAACTCTGAACAAACTCAAACCTGTTTTCAACACGCCACCGGGCCAGGAACTGTAATAGAGAGACAGCCCAAGTGAATCACATGCTGGGTATTTACACAGCACTTCTGGGAAGAGGTGCTACACCTGGCCCGTCCCTGATGGAAGAGGGCAGAGAAAAATGGCCCAGGACAGTAGATGAACAGAGGCCGAAATGAAGGGCGCAGCCCCAGCCCTGCTGGGGAAGCACCAGGAGGAAGTGAGAACTCACACTGGGGCTAACTGCAGAGAGAACGTCACGGCTGCCAGGGGCCTGGGTCAGAACAGCAGACGAGAGGGCCCAGTGAGCAGTGGGGCCCAGTGACAGTCTGGCTCCCAGCGCCCCTAACAACCTGGCTGTCCGCTGCTGAACGAAGCACTCCTCCAGAGAAATATCCTGACACCACCTTTCCCACCGGCCTTCCCGACAGAGCTCCTGCCAGACATTCTGTGTTTAATAGCAAGCTCTAGGCACTCTCCCAGCAAACTCCAAACCCATCAGGCTCCCGAAAGATTCCAGCCTTCGAAGTCTGGGAACTCCTCCCCATTAAGTCTCCCCACCCAAACATGACCCAAGCACTACTCTGAGAGCCCAAGTGCTCAATAAACACAAGAAATATGCCCAGCAGGAAATCGTCCACTAGGTGCGTCCAGCCCTGTGCATATCTTTGAGGTGTGCATCCATCAATCTTAACTATGAGGTCAGGGCTTGGAGATTTTTACACGTGAATCAACATCCTGTTTTCTCTTCCATCACATAAATGCTAGCATCCCACTCTTCCAAACGCGCCCCTTTCCCTCCACCCTCAACCTCAAGACTTCCTTACTCAAGATTTTGTTACCCAGGAGTGAATCTCTGGGACATTCTTTCATCAGAACCAAAGTCGGGGGGGGGGGGGCGGGGGGAGACTGAGGAGAATGAGTACCTTATACATTTTCTCATTTGAAGTAGAACACTCTACTATCATGACTAAAGGAATTAGCATTACTCTTTCTGGCAAGTTCACATCTGTGGCTAAAACTAACTCATAGTTACTATCAACTCTTTTGTGAGACAGAAACCATATCTGCTGCATTACCTTCATGTTCTGAATTCCAACTTTACAAACAGATGAAAAACAGCAGCTGTAACAGATATAATTTATACTGATAAATTACCCCCTGCAAAAAACTACTATACAGTAAAGTATAATTTTTTTAAGTAGTCTTGAGATATTAAAATGAAGGGATAAACTGACTTAACAGGCAAACTATAGTTAATCAGCCCTGAATCAACTGCCTCAGTGCTGAATAGACAGCACTGCCTCAAAACAACCCAATGGACAAGAGCAATATAAAAATGGACTCAGTATGCAAAAGAGAAAGGCTCAAGTAGAAATGCAAGTGAATGACCACTAACACTCACTGCTTAAACAGTAAAACATACACCCACACTATAAAAGGAAAATCACAGCTAACAAAAGCCTATTTCTATCCTGGAGATGACTGTCATTTTCTGGGAGGTCAATTCTCTGAGAGCAGAGAGCTTGGTCAAATGCGCAATGGAAACAGCTGGGCAGCTGCGGGGGAGGGTGTGTGTGGGGTTGGTGGGAACCCAGGAGCTGGCAGCCCAAACTCTGATTTCGACCCATGACTGGTGGTTTTGTGGTAACTCGAGCTCTCCTTTCCTGACCATAAGGTCATGCCACACAGAGGATGGTCTCGGTCAGGCTCTGCATCCTGAAGCAGATCTGAATCTGAGAAGCCTATGCCTGGCAAATGCTGGGCTGGCAAGGCTCCAAGCCAAGTGCAATTATGTAGGCTCAAGTGAAAGACACAGGAAAGTTAGAATAAGACTTGTGAACGAGGGAAAATATAGGTAAAAACTGTTCTTCCAAGGGCCTTTTCTGAGTGCCAGCGCTGTTCAGCTCGAGGCAGTCTCCTTCAGGCACACAAATCTTATAAGTGTAGTCAGCAGAATAGTTTCTGCACAACCGTACGAGCATTTAATCTGATGAAAGACAATCGGCAAACCAACCGAGAGATTCCTATCCTTTGGAGCAAGCACTAAGAAAACTAGGTTAATTAGAAAGAAGACTGAACAAAATTTCCTACCTAGCCCTTCCTTAACACGCCTAAGCCATCCCTTAATGTGAGCAACCTTCCTTTTGAAAAAGCACTCTATGGACGGCACTTTCTCAGAGTGCTCAGTGGGTACGTGTTGCGGCCGAAAACCATGGAGCGCCAACTCTCTAAATGCAAGTCACTGGGAAAGAGAGGCCACCGGTGTAAACCCCCACAGCAACGTACAGACAAGCGTCTGGAACGTGAGAAGACGAGAACACGGGGCTCTCAGATTTCAGGGACAGTAAGTACACGGGACGGAGAAGAGGTGTCCGCACCAGGGGCCAAAGAATCTAGGGAGGAAAGAAAGTAGATGCACAGTACTCTGGGGTCTGGAAAACCTCCTCCACAGACCAGAAGGCGAGACAGAGACACACCCCGAGACGGACGGGCCGGGGATCCTTGAGGGTGGTGGGCGCCAGGGCGCCATCCTCTCCTTCCCCAGCCCGAGAAAAGGAGTCGCGAACCTGGGTCAAGCTGGTGACGGAGAACGCGGGGCTCGGAGCCGAGGCGAATCTCCTCAGCGTGGGGCAGGGGGCGTGCGGCGGGCCGCTGACCAAGACGACCCGAACCCTCCTGACTGGCCCGCGCGGCCCTCACCTTGTCCGAGTCCAGGTCGGGGTCGGCCTGGCACAAACGGTACAGGAAGGATTTCGGATCCCGGCACAGCGTCTGCCGAGTGGTAAGGAAGTAGGTGCCGCCGACGTTGAGCCGGACCCACTTGGACACGCTGCCGGGACGCTGGGCCAAGGCGCCGAGCCCCGCGCTGCAGCGCCGGCACAGGCCGCCTCCCAGCCCCGCCCCGAGGCCGCCCGGGGCCGGTGGCAGCAGCTCGCAGTGATTCTCCGCCATGATCCCAGCAAGCCCCGCCAGAGCTCCTCGCCACCGGAAGCGTCCGGTCTTTAATACGGTCCTCCGAGCTCTGTCCCGCCCACGGGTCCGCCTTCGTAAAGCGCCCACCCCGGCGTCACGCGAGAGGCGGAAGTTCCGGTCCGGAAAAGCGGCCGGCAGTACCCTCTTCCGGCCGGAGCCCTGCGCGGCGTGGTCCGGTGACGCCGACGTGGGCGAGCCGCGGTGGAGCCGGGTGTCGGGCTCGAGAGGGGTTCGCCAGCCTCCGCCGGGCGCGTGCCATGCCTGGACGCCCAGTTCCCGGGCTCGAGTCCTGGTCGCCCGACCACGCCCGACCCGCGCCCCGGCCAAAGGAAGAGCTACGTCAGCGAGCGTCTACACTCTACATGCTTTTTTATTACAAGACTACCGAGCATACGTGGAAAATTCATCATTCGGTAACTACATCTAAAGCACAAATATTTGGAAAAAAAAAAAGAATAAACAGATTCATTAAATTATGATATGATTAAATCATCGACCAAATAGAAAATTTATATAATAAAGCCAGAAAAAAAAGTTGTAAAATATAGTTTACAATAATTATTCACATTCAAGGCTGTACATCCATACATACAACAACGTGGCCCCGAACATGAATTCAATCCAAATAATTCATATATTAGATTTTAAATAACACAGACTGAACTAGAGGCCAACAATAGCCAGCAAATAACCTTATATAAGAATAAAAATACAAAAGTGTATATCCTAATATCATTGCATTATTTGTTTTCATAAGTTCTTTAATTTTTGCTTTGCCTGTACATCACAGTTACAGCTACAGACCAGGTAGAGAATATTACACGTTATAACTGACTGCCACCAACCTGAAAGACAGCTAACATACTACTGATTCATCCTATTTTGTGTTAAGGAACAGCTACAGCAGCTCTAAATATTGCAAAAATTTGATTTTGTCGATGTCCAATCAAACATCACGATAGAGGCTTTTCATCAGCAAAATAAACCCCTATTCATAGTTATTCAGCCAGATGGGTTAGACTAGGGTGTATTACACAGCTAAAAAAGTTTGCCTTTTGTAAAAAGTTCTCTGTACATAGTTTGGTATTTCTTCATAGTGAAGAAATGGGTCTGGGGGAAATTCAGGTATCCTTGGAGGCTTGCCCACCATGCTGTCTGAGCTCAGATAATACTGCCCTCTGCTGAACAGCTTCCTCCCCAGGCCAGATCTCCACAGGCAACCTAGTTCACAACCCTGCAGTCTTGGGCCAGCAGCCTGCACCCCTCAGAGGCTCTGGGAGTGAATCCTGCCCTGAGTTAAGGCACTTGCCATGTAGTCTGCCTAAGAGGCAAGGGCCACACCCACTCGAGTCACCATCAGTTCATGCTAGGTTTGGGTATGAAAGGAAACAACATGGGGAAACGCATATGGTGCCATCTCCAAGAACAGTACCTTCACCATGATCTCACAGCTTCTCAGCCTCTGCTCTGGTCTATGGCCCAACCAGGAGGTGATCAGAGGGAAGGGAGATGATCTAATTCTGCACAATCTGGCCACAACCTCTGACAATATCCAGTGGCACTGAGCATGGCACCCAGAAAAGTCTCTCATGCGTGTTTCACCTCAGAATTGACAGACCCCAATCTAAAGTGCAGAAATTAAGGATGAAGCCAAATTTGGGTGGTCTGGACTTAAAGACAACTAGGCAACCTGAAACACTGGTGGGCAAGGAGAGGGGAGGAGAAATCCTTAAATCCTTGTCAGCCAGGACAATCACATTCTACAATGAAAAAACCTGGCCAGCATGCTCTAATGAACTGCTAAGACCTAAGTCCTGTGATCTGAAGAACATGAGGGCAAGCACACTTCCCTAAAATCCAATTGTCTACATGGTTTCAAGTAGAGCCTTTGCTCTTTTGCTGATTCCAAATGGCCCAGTGTACTTTCTGAGTCTACAAACTTCATTACAAATTATCCACTAAGTATGTGGCAAGGTCAGTTCAACACTTTATCTCTGCTGACTGTGCAGATGCAAATTCAGTACCATTGTGGACACAAAGTACAAGATTCTGGAAGTGTCACCAAGCACTTGAAAGCCATAGCAGCAGGGGGCGGGGGGGGAAGGTAACATGCAAGCATAACCAGGTTTTCTCAATGAAAATAAGGAAACTGGCTTTTGGAAAAATATGTCACAAATGGCCTGCAGTAATGACATCACTTTAGGATTAAGGGGGGGGGGGAGCAATCTTACTCAAACATTCTTGGGAACACACAGCTTACCAGAAATTGATTTGTTCAGAATCTGCAGAACACAACTAAGGAAGTTCTGTACTGGAACTCTGAGCATCTACTCATCAGATCAAGACAGAGGAGAAGAGACACTGCACTACTTTTAAAATGAACAAACTCTTTGACCCCAAAACACCACTTCTAGGAATCTGGGCAGGGTTGGGGCGAGGGAGATTCAGAGTCCAAAATCAAAGATTTATGAGGATATTAATCACAGCATTATTTAAATGGTGAAAAACCAGAAGCCACCTAAATGTTTTATAGCAGTGAAATGGTCAGATAAATTATGATAAAAATTATTAACCAATATTAAACTCTACAATCATTAAAAATAAGATTTTTCAATCACTATTCAAACATGACACATTAACAAAAAATACCAATTGGGAAAAGCTGGATGCAAAATGGTGTGCGTTGTCATGTTCCCAGGTCAGTTACAAGAGCGAACACACGTGTGCAGGTGGGGCAGCGAGGCGGCAGGCTGGGCCTGTACACAAACGCACGCAGCGGTCGTTCCTGGGTGCTGAGGCTCGCGCTGTTTTCAGAGCACAGATGTTTTAAGCAAACACAACATGCCCCGGAGCCCCGTGCTGACACCCCGTCCTCGGGGGTCCGTGCCATAGGCCTTCTGCAGTTCCTTCGGGCCTGTACCACAAGCGCCACAGCCTGTCCCCCAAGGGGGCTGGGGCAGGTGCAGCTCCCATCAGCTCCAGCCTGACCCCAAGAGTCATCTTTCCCAAAGCAAGTCTAACCAGCCTCCTGAGACGCAAGGTTCAGGATGGCAGGCCCGTGGTGCCCTCTTGGGGTGGGGCTGCCCACTGCCCTGGCCAGGTCACACCTGGCTTCCTCACGCCCCTGGAGGGAGGCCAGGCGTTGCCAGCCGGCAGAGCCCTCCTGCCCCTGCTCTGTGGCGAGGGGCCGGGCAGTGAGGGAGTGGCGCTGTCCAACAGGCACTGACTCCGGCTCCGCACCCCCCACCAGCCCTGCCCTTCTCGGTAGGACTCCGGGCTCCTGAGCTGTTGAACACTAGGGCGTTCTCTTTCTCACCCTGGATCAGCCCACGTTTATGTATATGTTTCCAGGCATGTCTGCGTGTGTACGGAGACTGACATCCACCCACATCCACATCTTAGAACGTAAGGCACCTGCCTGCCAGGATGATGGCTCAAAGGACGAGGTGGATAAAACTAAAGATTACATGAGGAAGCACAGGGTTAAGAAGACAATATGTAAGGGCCTTTCAAAGAAAAAACAAGGGAAGAGGCTTGTGAGTGAGTAGAGAAAGGTGGCCAACAAAGAAGGGCTCAGCTGTCACTGGCTCAGGCCAGGGCAGTCACTTCACTCTGCCAGCTGCAAGCTCAACCCCAAAGCCCTGGGTCTCTGGCTCTGGAGGTTAAGATGGAGCTTGTCGGTTGAGCCCAGGAGGTAGTGGCGCTCTCCGGAGGGAAGAATGCAGTGGGAGCACTCTCTCTCCCTGAGCGGCCCGGCCAAGCGCGCTTTTACAGCCAGGACTCAGCTCTGCCTATCACCCCCGCACCCAGAACAGACGCCGCAGGGAGCGGCTCCCTGCCCTCCAAGTGTGCACACAGATGCGGGCGCTGTGGCAAGGGGACATTTGAACAGGGTGTGCACCTGAAACCCAAGTCCTGATCCTGAAAGAAAGGCTCAAGACAGACTCACTTTTTGGAAAGCAGGTGAATACAGGCAAGCCTTTTCCAAAGCAAGGAGGAGAGGGGGCTCAGTCTACGGCTACACACCCAGGTCAGTGCCTTATTTCTGGACACACACACACACACACACACACACACACACACACACACACACACGCTGGCGAACCCAGCTCCTCAGTCTACGGCTACACACCCAGGTCAGTGCCTTACCCGGGCAGGCACCCCCTGCACCTTGGTATCTCTCTCTCTCACACACACACACACACACACACACACACACACACTGGCGAACCCAGCTGCATCTCTGCGCTCCTCCAGCCCCCCTGCTGGCCCCCGCACAGTGCGATTCCCCACAGCCCAACCTCCTTCCAAGTTTAACAGCCACTGTTGTGACATCACCAATAGAGGTTAAGATATCCTTCCCTCCGCGTGGACCGTGGATCACACACGGTGATGGGTGAGACAGGAGGTAGGGGCACAGAAGTCGTCAGGGGACCTTTTCCATGGGAGTTTAAATCGGTGCCTTTGTCAAAGTCCAGAGGAAATGGCAGTCAGCCCTCCCCTGGGGACAGGGCTACAGCGCCTGCTCCTCCTCCACTGGGACTGAGAGCTGCCCCCAGGGACCCCATGGGCAGGGTGCGCCCCTACAGAGCAAGATGAAATAGCCTGAAACTGGAGAGGAGCCGGCGGCCCAGGTTCAAGTGTGCTGTTCCTGCCCCTGCGGAGTGACGCCACGCTTCTCCAGGCGAAGCCCACGCGACGGCGACCGGATGGCCTGACGATGTGAGAGGGCTTTTCGACGTTCCTGGTGAACACGTGAAAATGCTCTGAGCTAGACTAGGAGAAGGGGCAACTTTAGCAGGAGAAGGGTGCGCGGGGCGGCCTTGGTGTGATGGAGGACCAGGCCGTGTGCCAATGCCGGGCACCTCGCAGCCCCAACTTCACCCAGACACACTCCACCTTCCAACCAGACTCTCAGAAGGGCCACTGGCGCTCACTCCTCCAAGAGGAGGCCACCAGGCCTGTCTGCCCCGCTGGCCCAGCCTCATGTGGGGAGGGGGCCACAGACCCATCTCCTGGGGCTCCCCGGGGCAATGCTACTCCGTGGAGTGTCACACTGGAACGCCTGGCCGGTGCCCTCTGACACAGCAGCGGCTCCACACTTTGCCTGGACAACCTGTTCCATTTCTCAGCGCCCAGAGCCTGCCCGACCGACATGACGCAGGAGTGCTTGCAGACAGACAGCAAGGACCGCAGGAATCTCACAGCCACGACTACTGGAGGAGCCAAGCGCGGTCGTGGGGATGAGGCCAGACACGGGGAACGAGAAGAAAGGGGAAACGGACAAAAGCCAAGAACCTCCCGCCCGCAGAATTGGAGGCCCCCCAGCAGGGGCCTGCCTGGCTCCCTGGGGAAGAGTTGGTTCCCCGATGATCCAGGGGCAGGGAGAGCCCAGAGACACGCCTGGGCCCAGGGGCCACAGCAGGACGGGCATAACAGGCCCGTGGTGAAGAGTTGGTGCCGCGAGTCTGTCCCCGAGTCGGGGCGGGAGCCAGGTGGACGTGCACGGCGCTGGTCCCCACGGCGAGCAGAGCGTGGAGAGCTCCACACAGCACAGAGAGCAAGCAAAGCGACCCTGAATTCCTTTTCGTTATTGGTTTTGTTCTTTGTGTGGTTGGGCGTTTTTTTTCTTCTTTTCTTTTAAATAAAAAAGCTGCAAGGTTCCGCCGTCTGCCTCCCCCTTGAGATGGCCGGCAGGTGGTCTGGAAGCGTCCGGAGGCGGCAGGCTGTGCGGGGCATGGCCCTGCGGCGAGGGCGGGCAGCGGCGTCACTGCACGGCGGCGTCCGGGTGGCTCTGGTACCTGTGCCGCCACACCTCCTGGATCTTTCGGCACCACTTGTGCGCGTTCCCGCTGGGGTCCATCAGGTAATATGTCCTGTTCGGCTGCAGAGAGAGACACGCTGACTCTTCCCCTAGGGGTCCCAGCACGACCGGCACCCACCCGGTAGTGAGAAACCAAACAAAGGTGCCGGATCCCACGGCCACAAGCACCTCCAGGAAGCCCGAGAGCAGGTGGGCGTTTTCCTTCCATGTTTGTGCGGAGGGTCAATGTGCAGGTGAGGACCTGCAGTTCCCTGCGGGTGAGGTCACCCCGAGACTGAGAACAAGTATGGGTGTCTCCTGACCCAACTCTGAGCTGAGCCGTGAACGCTGGGATCCCTGGCGCATGGGGAAGGGGGGACCACGACCCCCCACTCCACCTGCCCCGCTGGGCCACAGCATTCGGCCGCTCTGGATGGAAGCACAGAGGCCGGAGTGCCCGGCAAGAGAGAGCCCATGGGGACAAACTCACCGTGTGTACAAAGAAGGTTTTAAAATTCTTGGCCTCTGGTCGGAGTTCCTGTGACCATGGAATTTCACCTTTCAAGACTTTGTTGACAGGATCCACATAATACAAATGTGGCCCTTCCGTGAGCAGCAACTGTCGTCGCCGTGCAAATAAACCCTGGTGCAAATGACAACAGGAAAGAAAGGACACTGCCCGTTAAGGCTCAGAGTGGAGGCTGGGTGCTCCCGCTGCTGCTCGGATGCTGGACTGTTGGGGCGCTCCAGCATGGGGACCACCACCAACCCCTGCCCACTGGCCTGGGACAGGAGTGGGCGCACCTCCCCCGACCAGGACCAGGCCCCCGAGTCAGATGGAAGTGGCGGCACTACGCTTGCTGGCGCGAGCCAGAACCCGACATGCAGGATGGGGCGTCCTACTCTGGCTGCCGCGCGGGTGGGGCGGCACCCTGGCCCCCAGCGCCTGCCCTCAGCACCCAGGCCCTGCCGCTTCCCAGGCTCTCTGCTCCACGCCAAGGCCGAGTCCTGAATGCTGACCCCCCGCCCACCGCCTTCACAGAGGCTCTCGGGGCAGAGCAGCCCAGGGTGGGGAAGCCTGAGCCGACAAGGGCCCATAGCAGCAGAGAGAGAACATGCACAGAGTCTGATATTTTTGGACACGTTAACCCATTTAATTAATTCATAAAACAAAGTAAGATTTTCAAAAACAATCCTGATAAAGTAATAAATAAATTGCTGGGACTTAAATAGAGGCTCCTCAACCAGACAGAAACCTTGACCTCATTGACCAACCCCAGCACTGGGCAGAAATCAGAACCCTGGCTCCCCAGTCAGCAACAAGAGGCCGAATTTCTGTCTGCCCAGCCTCCGTGTGCTCTCAGAGGCCTCCCCGAGCGGCTGAGGCCATCTTCAGCGCTGACATGCAGAGACGATCTCTGAGAGGGAGGAATGGGAGGAAGACACGGACGTTCAGGAAGGCGCCTCTGGACTCTAACTTACCTTCCGCTTGTCTACTGGACCCATTTTTAGTATTAAATTATTTTCTACAAACTGGTGCCTATAAAAAGAAGAAAACAAGGATCAGACACTCATATCAGAGTCAGAAACTCTCCAAACTCCTCCCTCAGAACAAACTCCCCGACGGTACTGTGAACTCTGCCTCAATCAAGCCTCTCCCTTCAGAGACCCAAGCGCACTCCAGTGAGGGGAGGAAACTGCAGACGCGCCTCAGCGCTCACACCGCACAGAACCGCGCCTGCCCGTGAGCCCGTGGCCACAGGCGCTGGCAGGACCCCAGCCTCGGCTCTCCTCAGCAGCGTCTGCTCAACAGGGGAAGGCGAAGGCAGATGGCAGGAACACATGTGCTCACCACCTGGAAGCAAAGCTGGGGTGAAAGAGAGACTGCTGTTCTCACGTCACCGCGCTAAGCTGGGACCCCGACACGGCACTCAGAAACCACTGAGCTCTTTGGAATCACAAATCCCGAAAGAGCCAAGTTGGAAACTTGGTTTAAGAACATCTCACCTGGTGTTTCTATCAATAGTAACAAAGTACTTGCATGCAAACATGGCAGGAATTTAGAAGAAAAACTCCCAATCACAGACTCTGACTTAAAACATCTTAGTGACAAGCACCGGCCACTTTGACTCCTGGAACCTTAGTGTCTGCAGATTCTCTTCTTGGTTAAAGCTAGCCGTTACCGCTTTATGTTTTGTCTGACTTGACCGAAATTCCTGATCTAAAGGTTCTACTGTAGAAACAGTGAAAGGCATAAGACACTTGTCACCTCACACAGTGAGAATCTTACCACAGAAGTGAACAGACCACCCACTTCCCTGACTCATCCTGGGACTGGCACATGGGTGAAGAGACCAGCCTGGCTGGGGGGCCACGTTCTCCTGTGAGTTTAACTGGCCTCCAGGTCTGCCCCACTGAACCCACCAGATAACACCCACTCCACAGAGCCCACTAAACCAGGGCCCCCTGACAAAGGACCCAGACCAGTTAAACTGACACAGCACCATGTGGATTTTGAAAACAACTTGAGATGATCAGATTATCTGATCTGATAACGGGGTTATGAGTGTGTATGTGTCCCAAGTACAGTCTTGTCCCAGGTGTGTGTGTGTGTGTGCATCTGTGTCTCTGTGTGTCCCCCGAGTACAGTCTCGTCCCAGGCTGGTCAAGGACCTCACCGCCAAGGCCCGCAGTTAACTGGGCAGCAGGGGCCAGGTCACCCGGGAAGCCAGACAGGCATGGACAGCAGCAGCCTCCACGGCCTCAGCAGGGACGGCATAAAGAGGTCACACAGGAGGAGGACCAGAGAGCAGGTGACAGCAAGCAAGCTTCGGTTGGAGGGACCCTTCTCTATGCTGAAAACAAGTCACCAAACGGAGTAACAGACACGATAAAGGGAACAAAAGGAATCTCTAACTACAGAAATAGCCACAGTTTACAGGAAAACAGGCCGGAGAAGACCTTCCGCAAATACAGCCTACAGAGAGCCAACACCTGTGCTCCACAGAGTGCGCACAAAGCGGCATGGAAGGGTGAAACCCTGAGAGAAAGCTGAGCAAAGGACATGGACTGGAAACTCTCCCCAAAAATGAAATGGCCCCAAATTCTCCATGGCTCTAAACAAAGAAACCGAGCCCTACTCTTCTGGCATTCTCCTGGGGTGCACTGGGGTACTGTGACCGCGGGAGGGACTCTCAGGAATACCACAGGAATCCCGCTCCCAGGAATTTACCCTCAGGATGAAAAGACAACAAAGAGAAGCACGCACGCTCACAGCAGGAACCATCACGTCCGTGAACCTGCAGACGCAGGGCCTCTGGCCCCACGCTCCCTCCCGGTTTCTCCCGAGACAGGAGAACCACGGTGGGCAGGGCGGGAGCAGCCCGAGCTGGGCACAGGCTGGATGCGGCGGCCGCAGTGAGACAGCCCAGGAGCAGCGTGCAGAGGGGCTGGGCAGCAGCCACAGCTCGGCAGCCCACTCACTCGGCTGACCCACCTGTCGGCTACCCTGAAACGTGTAAGGACTAAGGAAGCATTTTCATCTTTCACTTCCGAAACTCAATCCCCACTTTCCTGAGGGGACCGCCCCAGGCCCCACCCGGCACTGGCACCGCCTCTCTGGCAGGCATGTAGACCCAAGTCAGAGACACACCTGACTCTCAGCACGTAGGCGGCGTGTGGCCGCGGCTTTAACACAGCCTACTGCCCCACAGCCTCCGGCTTCTACCGCTCAGGTGCCAGCTGCCCACGTCACTTCACATGGGGTGACAGGGTAACCCCCCTTTCCCGACTCCAGAGCCAGCTCCCTCCTCCTCACCTTCTCCCACCTCACCCAGACCCTAAGAAGGCCCACCTCAAGGCCACCGGCGAGCCCGGGCCACTGCAGGAGGACTGTCAGCCAGCCACGGCCCCGAGACGGCTCCACAGGCCCCGCGGCGGGGCCCCCACACCAGGCTGCCAGGCAGGGGAGGGAGGGCCAGGCAGCCATGGCCAGCTTGCTCCAAGTGCCCTCTCTGAAGCCTTCAGGGCGTGAGGCCCCTTTATGCATTCAACTTTACGAAAACCCCAAAGAGCTCTCCTTCATTTGGGTCAGATGCGTTGATACTTATGTGTAAGAAATTAAAACAGATTTCAAACGTTTAGCTCATTAAAAGATGAAATAAATCCACCCCATATTAATATAAATGATTTAATTTTAAAAATAACTTCTTTCAAAACAAAGGTAATTAACGAGACGCATAATGCTGCTCTATGTTCTGCAACCCCCCCGAACACCCGGCTCCACAGGGAGCTGGGTTTTCCTGTCTGTCCTGCCTTCACTCTGCTGTGCTGCGGCATCCAGGCTGAAGCGCACAAAGACCTCAGAGGAGCACTTTAATGCCTCCCAGGTATCTGTGGGCATCTTCTTTGACACTACACCTGAAGTCTCCGACTGTCGTTTCTTACAGGTTAGCTGCCACATGGAATCCAAATCCCCAGGAATGAAGTTTTCATACTCCGTGACATCAGAACCCACCCATCACCTTGCGCTGTGATTCAATCCTCCGCCCTGACATGGTCTGACAGCACCCAAAACTGGTCATCTGAAAAATACCGGTTCGCTTAGTCACGGAGATCCTCTGAATCCTGACCAATTTCATTCTGTGATATCAACAAATAAATCCACAAACATCACTACCTTTCTCCTCAAAAGTCTTTTAAGCACTGGGAAGATGTCAAGCTCACAGTGACGGGTAAAGCTTCCCCAAATTCTAATTTTCACTTGAAGGCTGTGATTTTATCATTGGTAACAAACGCTAGCAGTTGTTTTCTCTGAAGTTACAGGCTCATTCCATTCATTTCACAGAAGAACACTGGCTGAACAGCTGAGTGAATAACCCCAACTGGCAGGCAGACCTTCCAGCGGAAATGGGCGCCCAGGACCAGACCAGTCGTCCAGCTCCCAGCGAGGTCAGCACACAGAGCCTGTCTTGAGCGGTCTTGCCCCGGAGGCAGGGGCAGCAGGAGGCGTTCTGCAGGCCTCTCACCCGCTCCACAGCACACTCCCCAGATGTGTCCTCCCTGTTTGTCTTCCTCTGCCTGTGACCGGTGGCTCTAAGAGCCGGCTCCTCCCGCAAGGTCTGGCCCTGCGGCTGGCGGGTCTGCCCACAACTGCTCTGGCACCATCACTACACGGCCACACATTTGTTCCAGAACAAATCGTGACATTCAAAAGGGGTGCTCAACACAGACTGTCTCACACACTGCGCTTCCTGCCAAGCACACAGGGAAAATGTAAAAGAACACTTTCTTTGATGGCAAGCTGGGGCAAACACCAGACAAACGCCAGCAAATTGTAAGTGCAGTCCCACTGGAGTTCTGTCCATCTGCAAGGGAAGAGGACCACGTGGAGGCAGAGATACCAACTCTCTCCCCATGTCAGCAGCCACATCGTCAATCCAGTGAGTCACGGACCATGCTCATGGCCCCAGTGGCTGTCAGCAGGGCCAGTGGCCTGAGACTCTCCGGACTCCCAGCACTCCGCCACACCTAACTCCAGGCTAAGGCGCTCCAGGGGCTTCACGATGTCTGGGTTGGAAAGAGCTTGTCACGTGTCACTTACAACATTCCATTCCTTTATCTCTGAAATTCTGAGTGACTGGTCTCCAGATGCTGCTGCAACTTCTCGGGCACCAAAACAGCAACGATACTGTTCACAGACACAACACGGCAATTTGCTCAGACCCCACAGCAGGGAAAGCAGCGTCTGTCTTGCTTCTGTTTCATACAGCTGTGCCCAGTTTCTCTGGAGTGGATTCCTCCCTCCCATGATTCAGAGAACTCAGGGTCTTCCTCTTGGCCCCGCAAAGGCTCCTCTCTGCCCGTGCAAAAGGTGAAACCATGAAAATGCTTGAAGACAATGTCCAGGCAGAGAACCTCTTCTCAACAGGACCAAGACGGAAAGCAGAAAAGAAACACACCAACTGGTTTGACTTTGTAAGAATTTGCAACTTCCCCTCCCAAAAACATGATGCACAAATAGAATGAAAAAATAAACTGAAGAAAAATGCTTTCTCAAAATAAACAAGGAACAGTTCTTCATTTCCATGGCGCTGAAAAGCCAATTTTCAAAAGACGCAAAATGTACCCCCAAAAAGGATCAAAGAACACAAAAGTACTTCAAAAAATAAATACAAGTGGCCAACACACATGGAAGAGGTATGCCCCAACCAGAATACAGGCGCCCGCTCACACGGCCCATTTCTAGAGCAGCCGGACGCTCAAGGGCAGGCGGGCCCTCGGGATACGGAGATTCGCTGTGGACACAGAGCACCGACTTCTTAAACAGGCACACCCCCACCCGCCACTTCAGGGCGCACCGTGAAAGACACAAATGAGGAAAGCCACGTGCAGAGGGTCATCTGGAGCAGCAAAAACTCGGGACATCCTAAACATTCCACCAGGGGGTGGTGGTTATTCACATCACAGCCAATCCCAGTCCAACCACATTGCTGGCGTGCCTGGCGCGCTGAGCCCCAGGGGGGCCAACCCCACACAGCCCCCAGCCAGCGCTCCAAACGCCCACTTCCAGTTCGGCGCTTCGAGGGTTGGGTCCTCATGTGCAAAAGGCAGCTGCGCGTGACGGGGCCCTGACGGCAGCGGGGACAAAGGGCGGGACTCGCGGTGCTGCTCACGCCTGTGTGTCCTTACCAAGGGTTTCCGCTGGCCTGCTTCTCCAACAACAACCTCTTCTCATCTTCAGAAAACTGCAAGTCCAGTTCAAAGGAGTTCGTGTCCAGGTCGTGGATGTACTGCTCGATGTTGCTGCCCGCCCGCTGGGGCAGCCCCGCGTCCACGGCCGACAGGGAGTGAGAAGAGGAGGACGCAGACACCTGCATGCAGCCAAACTGGCTCAGGAGATTGTCGTACTGCAGGGAGAACAGGCAGTGAGTGCAGCACCCGGCTCCTGGCTCCCCTCCGCCCCCAGGGTCTTGGCCCCCTGCCCTGGAAGGAACCCCGTGGCCCACACCCCGAAGGTCGAGGCCCTGGGGAGACAAGCTGCCGACCAATGGTCCCACTTGGAGTACCCTGACCAGTATGGGCCACTCAGACTTCTCCTCACTACACAGCTGGACACCAAGCCTCAGGCTGGGCCCGACCTGCCCTGCGCCCCGCTTCTGACAGTAACCTCAGAAGCTGTTCACCCTTGAGAGAGGCGCTTATCTTCAGTCCTGACCTACAGGAAGGGGAGAGCCAGGACCTGGGCCTGCTGACCTCTGTGGGTCCCATGCTGCCCTGCAGGTCAGAAATAAGGTGGCAACACCGGAGCTCTCACCCTGGTAAACACGATGAGACAGCAGACAGAGGGCCTGCACACGACACGCAGAAGTGTATACACGCCCTGTGGAGCCAAGGTCCCCGGGCAATGAGATCAGAGACAACTCCTCCCTCGGAGCCCAGCCAGCAGAGTGTGGCCCTCTGTGGGACCCCCCCTGCCACAGGCCCTGGGGACCCTGCCCATGCCAGCATCAGGGCTCAAGGGCCTGGTCGGCCACTAGGGCCAGGGAGGAAGTCTTCTGCATGTGCAAAGGCCGCGGACAGCTGGAGCCAGTGAGACAGGGAAGCAGACTGGAGAGGGGGGCACAGATGACGCCCCACGTCTGGCTCTCCTTGAGTCTGAGCATAAAGGATATTTTAGGGCAAAAGAAGGGGGAAGTGCTGCTTTAAACAGTGTGGAAGACATGAAAAGGCGCTCTTATCTCCAGGAGGCGATGCCTGTTGTAATTTTAACTCAGCTGTGAGTGACTTTTAAGATAAACTCTAGAATTCCCCAGTCAACAGAGATGAAGCGCTATATATGACTGGTTACAAGCCACAATGACAGAAATCACACCAGAAAAATGGACTGTGGTTGACAATAAAAACATCTGAAAGTGCACATGAACACAACCTTCCCCAGGAGAGTTAAGGAACCAAGGAGACCAAGGACCTCTGCTGCCCACCCCTCAGGCCTGGCATCGGGCGAGAAGAGCTGAAAGCAACCAGCGTCCATCCTCAACGCTATGTCCCCTGAATGCTCAAAGCAGCAGTGCCCAGGGCTCTGGGAAATACAGGGAGCATTCCAGAATGTCTTCAGATACACAATTATACAGACACCAGCCAAAACCCAAAGACAGAAGCCCACCAGAACTGGTGCCCAGGCTCTAGGCCAATCCCTTGGAGCAAAAATTAACTAGAGGCAAGAAGAAAGGGACGCACGCAGCTCAGGGCCTGGCACTCTGTGCTCGGGGCGGACGGAAGCCTCTTCAGTCCCAGTGGGGACCTCTGAGGCCACAGTGTTCACCGCCTTCCACCACGGATCTCCACGGGCTCTTGCTTCAGCCACCATCCCACCCCCAGGGACGCCCCTGGCGGCTCACGTTGCCATAGCAGTCCTCGTCATCCTCCGACATGGCCGGCAAGTAAGCCGTGAGCTTCGGGGGCGTCTGCTGATGCAAGTCCTCCCACGTGATGGACTCAAAGAACGGGTGGGCTTTCAGAGGGCCATACCCCTCCATTTCTTCACAGCCTAATCGTTTTGTAGCATCTAAAACCTGAAACAGCAGTTGAGACACGTCAGCATTGGGGTTAAAACACAAATCTGACCAAAAAAAACTCTTCTGAGCAGTTCTCAATTCTTGGGGTCTCTTGGAACCTGGAAGGACATGGAGGGCTGTGGACAACGGAGTCACCCTCAGGGATCCTTTCACTTTTCTGGAGTCTCTGCCCCTCCTCACACAGGTGAAAATAAATCACGACATTGAAAGTTCATGGATAGTGGCAAGTATCCTCTTAAAATCCTAAAACAAGAAAAAGAGGAACTCACTGGCTTCAATGAGAGAATGAAGAGTTCATGCAGAGGGCTCCAAGGGACCTCAGCATCTGACTGCCCCCAGCCCCATGGAAGATGCAGGCCTCCCTCACTGGGGACAGAGCAGGAGGGCCAGGCGGGCAGGGGCAGACGGACCCCTCTCGTCCAGATCAAGCAAAGGGAATGTATGCAGCCAACACACACCAGGGGAAGGACACTGCAGTTTCCAGAAAACACAGACACTCCCTTCCCGGGCACCCGGTCCCTGTGCTGACATCTGACACCTCGCGGACCTGACTCCAAGGCGGACACCCACCAACGTCGCTGGGCGGAACTGACACCACCAGCCACGCAGCACAGCCAGCCCCAGCGCCCCGCAACCTAAAGTGCTGCGTGTGCTGGCGAGCAACCGCAGAGTGCTAGAGTAACTTCCTGTCTCACTAAGGTCAAAAATCAGATACCTGGAAACTGAAAGGAAGAGACTGAAGACACGCATCTGCCTACAACCATTATCTACCCTCAAACACCCTTCATTAAACACGGTGCCGCCAGGGAAAGCCCCTCTGACCACAAGATGAGAGGGACTCAGGGTGTGGCTACTGGATGAGCTCACCAGAAGAAAATGCAAAACATTTACCAGAAGTTTTTCCACAAGATCTCTTGCCTTAGGAAAGAATTTTTCAGGGAAGTCATACTCCAACTTAATGATCTTCTGAAATATAAGATACTCATTTCTGTAAAACAAGAAAAGCCGTCATTCTGGGTGGGGGCACACAGACCCCAGCCCATCCCAGGACAGAGTTGCACCCCTCCAGGTGCAGCCGGCTCCCTCTCCCACAGAGAGCCACCGCGGTCACTAAAGAGCCATCACAACGCGCCCACCTCACGCCCCGGGACCGCCCTCTCCCCTCCATCAGGCTGCTGCGAAGGGCTGGCCAGAGCCGGGCAGGGTCTCTTACCCGGCTCGGAATGGAGGCAGTCCTGCCACAAGCTGGTATATGATGCATCCAAGTGCCCAAAGGTCTGAACTTTACGGGAAGAGAAAACACAGAAGAGTGACATTTGTAACACTTCAGCGGTGAGCAGAGCTCACGTCCCTCCATCTGTTCACACCACCTGAGTCAGCATCTCACCCCTTCCTCTCCTTTAAAACCAGGTCAGTGTGCGGTGGGAACCTCACTTGCTCTGGGCTCCCCTTGAGGATGCCTCCCTGCTGGTCTGGGACCAGAGGGTCCAGCACACACCACAGGGGCCGCTGGGCGAGGCCAGGTGCCTCCCTCGGGGGCAACCAGCACCCACACAGGCCTGGCCTGGCCTGACCAGGGAGCAGTGGTCACTCCTGAGGGCAGTAGCCACTGGCAGAAAAGCCCTCCTCCAGGGCCAGGGAGGGCACAGGCTCAGAGTCCCTCCTCAGTCACCATCGCCCCGAGGACACGGACACTGTTCGCATCAGGCCCGTACAGAGCACTCCTCTTCCCCGGCCTGGACTGTGGTGCACAGCCCGCCCCCCTCGTGAGCATTTCAACCACACACTCGGAAAGCCACCCTGGGGCTCTGAGCTTCCATAACCAGCTGCAGGAACCCTGGAGGGGCCGCCGTGCTCCCACCCACGCCCTCCCCTCAGGGCATCACAGTCCTCTTGAGAACTACTTTGCATACTTTATTTCCTCTGCAAGTTCCGCATTCTATTCCCAACTCAGCTCTAGGAAAGCACCAAGAGGCAACTGGCCCTGCATGGCCAGCTGCCGCCCCGCAAGCCCTAAACGTACGACGTACGAGGCTAGTGGGGTGCTGGACACAGGCAGCTCCTGGAAAAGGCCACACCGGGCATTCCGAAGACGAGCTCATAGGTCTTGGGCAAGACAACGGGCCGGTTACAGAGCTAGGGGCCTCAGTGGAGGCTCTGTCCTCGGACCCGTATCACCAGCACGGCAGGCAGATGAAGGACTCAATATGAGTTAAAAATGCCACAGATCAGAAATCTGAGTCACAACACACAGGTGGGGTGAAGGCATGTTAAAAACAAATGTGCATTCTCAATAACTAGTTCTTAACACTTGGCATTCTCTGCTGTCTGGTGTAGTTAAGAGACAGAGCTACACAAGCAAATGCCGACAGAAAAGCATCGGCCTTGTGCTGTGATGGTGTCCAGAAACGGGGGCCGGGCTGTGTGCGTGTCGGGGGGGCTGCCTCCCTAGCTGTCCCGGGTCATCTACAGGGAGCAAGACTGCTAGCAGAACCAGCTACGGGCTAACCTTCCACAAGCGTCTTATCTTTAATGTTTTTTAATATGATGAAAACTAAAAGGGGAAGCCAGTGAGCATTTCTGGAAAGCAGTATGCACCAGTGATTTTTTTAAATGCTCAGTTAAACCAAGTTACTCTATTCTTGAAATTCAAAGCAGACCACGGGGCAGCGCAGCGCCCAGCCTTGGGAGGCGCGGCCTGACATGACATGGGAGGAACCACAGTGAAGTTGGATGAGATACACCCAGGTCATAGGTGAGGAGACCAGACAGCTCTTAAGAGATTTCTGCAACACTGTGAGGGACATGGGAGATGTCCATCAGCTAATCGCAGGGAGTGTGATTCAAAACTGGTCATTCAGTGTGATTCCAGCTGCACAAAAACTGTGTAAACACATATCCAACACAGAGAAAAAAGGAGCTGGAGAGACGGACGCACCAATCTGTGAGTGCAGGTGGGCTGGGGACTGTGAGGGCGTTTTCTTTGCTCTTATTGTGACTGCTCGCCTTAAGGAATCTCATTCCCCGACCAAGGACTGAAACCGGGCCACAGCAGCGCAAGTGCTGAATCCTAACCACTAGACCACCAGGGAACTCCCTATTAATTGCTTTTTTTAAGTCTTCGTATTTTCTATGAATTCTTTATAATGAAAAGGTATCATTTTTACAATCAGGAAAAAAAATTCTTAACTACTTTTAAGTATCACACGCCTTAAATTAAAAGCATAAAGGATACCCACTGGTGTGTCCCTCACGGTCTTGGTGTAGCCCTTGCCCCACAGCCAGCCAGTTGTCCACGCGCTGCGTGTACCTCTAGAGGCTTAAACGCACAGACAAGCGGCCCTGTGCCCTCCTCTCCCTCAGCAGAGCCTGGAGACCTTCCTCCATCGGCACTGAGAGCTTCCTCTTACTACAAGTGACCCCAAGGAGGAGAAGAGCCAGTCCCCGGCCAGCAGGGACACACTGGAGAGTCTGGCTGAGCGTGCCTGGAGGAGGGCTCCTCAGCAGGGCCCTCGGGGTGTCTGGGACCCGCCATCCTCACTGGATCCTTCACACTGTGGGATGCTGGGCAGCACCCCCAGCTCCACCCAGTGCCTCCCCCTGTGAAGTATGACATCAGAACTGTCCAGATCAGAAGTCCCCTGGTGGGCGGAACTGCCCCACGGGGAAGCCCTGGCCCACAACAGCGTCTGGCCACAGGACGAGCTCCAAGTCTGCTGATTGAGTAAACAAAACAAACAGCAAAGAGTCCAGCAACTGCTAAGACGGCCCAGTTTTCCTAATGTCCTGCTGCCCACCATGTCTGTGCCCTGTGGGTCCATCCACTCCCTGAGAGTTTCTGAAAAGCCTTCAGGCTCAGAAACAGCTGCTGTGCCCAGAACCATCCTCACCTCTGCTGCCTCTGGCATTGGCTCGCCGCGCCAGAAGGCGGCCGTGCAGCCCACGGGCGCAGACACTGGCCGTTGGGCCCTTGTCAGCTCCGATGGCGCCAGCAGGCTGAGGGCCTGGCCCAGGGCAGGAAGAGCCGAAAAGGTCTCATCCCAGAACGTGTCCCCGAACCCTGACGGCCCACTCCTACCGCCACCTCTGCGTCCTCGCCCGCCTCACACCTGCTCCACACAGCCTCCCAGATGCCCCCAGCCCCAGGCCATCGGCGCCCACCTGCTTTACCTCCACTGTCTGTCGCCAACCCTCTCCACGCTCCGGACCTCCCTCTGGGAACAGCATCCCAGCCCCCGCACCTCTCATTTCCACAACTGAGGCCTCCGTCCGGGTCCTCCAACCTGTGGCCACCACCGGGCCTGGCTCCTGGAGGGCCGGCTGGGCCCACCCTGCACTCTGCAGAGCGTGGCACACTCAGCAGCTGGCCTGAGCAGAGGTGGCACCAAGGCTCCCCGGGCTCCAGGCCACGGCAGGAAGCCTCAAGTCAATCAGACAGACCTGCTGGCCATGCTGTTCCCCACTGCACAGTCAGCAGTTCCTACAGGAGCAAGACCAAATCTCAGAGCATAAAAGTAACCACCACCCAGGCAGGATAAGCAGTGACAATAAAGTTAACAAGCAGGTTATCAAAGGAAAGATACTGGTTAAAAGGCAAAATGCTAACTTCTTCCAAAGGAGGCTCGGCTAGATAAAGGCCATGAAAGGCATTCTCTTAACTACTGATTTCACCTGAAAGAAGTATCAGCTACTTTAGAGGAGAGAGAAGCATGGGTCAGAGGAAAGCAGGTTACCTCTTACAGGCCGATTTCTCTGTGAGCAGCTCTGGAGAGACATACTGTGCTGTTCCCACAAACGAGTTGGCCCTGGCTGATGAGAAGAGGGGAGAGGAGACGGTCATGCTGAGACAGCGCTTCCACCGCGGATGCTGCCATTGGCGTTCACCTCTCAGGACGCCGCGGTCACCAGCCACCCGCCTGTACCCTCCTGAGAGTGGGACTTGTTGGGGCCCCACCCCCACATCCCCTTCTGGGGCCCACCCCTGCCCCAAGGCTCCCAGGTGGCCCTGACTCCAGGCAGCCCTCTGACCCGCCCTTCTCCCGCCCACACGCTGGAGTGGCCCTTGCCCAGCGGCACTGTCAGCTGGGAGCACCTTGCAGACGGGCTCCCATCTGCTCACTGCTGGAGCCGGGGTGCCTAAACCAGCCTTACACACACGCAGCATGTGGCCAGGACTGGACGCCCCCCCCAACCCAGGGAGACCCCCTCCTCGTAACAACAGCTGAGGGAGCCAAGGGGCCAGAAGGGGAATAAGACTCAGGCGGCCCATCCCCCTTCCAACATTCTGTCCCCTCTAGTCCTAGACTGTGCCAGCAAGGCTCGCCAAGGTCAACTGCAGCCCTGCAGGGTCTGGTGCCGGACCCACTCATCATGGCCGTGAGGAGGTAAGACGCTGCGTCACCCTAGGAGATCCTGGGGCTCCTCCCCAGCTGGCAGCCCTGACAGAGCTGCACCGTGGGCACAGCCAGTCCGTGCGCCCCCTGCCCCTACCCCAGAGGCATGCCCGTGATGGGTGTGAACAGCCGCTCTTGGCCTTGCCCACAGCCAGAGGACACGGGGCTGGGGATTCCTGTGAGCGCCCCGCCATCAAGTACTGTCACCCCACTGGTGGGTCCCCAGGGACACCCATGGCACCAGTCCCTCCAACAGGTCCCCGCATGGCAACAGGGCCCAGCTCAACACCACAGGCTCCAGACACACCAGGCCCTTTCAGCTGGCCTGACCCTCTGAGGTCAAGCTGACTTTTCCTTCACCATCTTTAATAACCTGGGATAGAAACTACCAGTCTCTCTGTTCACCTTTTCCTGAGCCGAGTTGGGAAGTGTGCCAGGCGCAACATTACATGCCAACCACTGAGAAGGCTCTGGCCCTGCGGGCTCACCTGGAGTCAGACAACGCCAAGGACAGGAATGGGTGCTGGGCGAGGGGCCCGCCTGCTGGCCCCCTGCCTCAGCTGTGGACAACTGGCTCCTGGACAGAGGGGTGGGAAGTGGCTGCCGTCACCAAGGGGACAGAAGCCAGGGGTGCACCTAAGCACGCTGACGGGGCATCAGACAGCCCCTCACCAGGACCTCTCCAAGCCCACAGGCCCAGGGGCCGCAACAGCGCTCTCTCAGACACGAGCTCGGGCCCCGCACGCTACAGGGGCAGCCGGCCTGGTGTGGGGCTGCTCTAAAGCTGGGGAGGCAGGACGGCAGGGAGCGCCTTCTCGTCTCTCCTTCTCGAAGCCCACCACCTGCTCCACCCAGAGCTCCAGTCCAGGGGCCACGCTGCACTCCCGCACAGGCTGAAGGCTCCATCCTGGGTGCCTCAGCTCGGGCTGCCTCAAACAGCCTGATGGGGTGCGGCTGCCTGTGGTAAACCTGCCAGACCCGTGCTATGTCTGCCCACAGCTTGAGTCTTCACCGTGCATAGGTACAAATAACCTAATACCAAAATGGAAAGGCAAAAACACCCAGGGCCAATGGCCACGTCACTTCTGCATGCAATGGTCTGCTGCCCACTGGCCACAGTGGCCCTCAGCTCCCCACCTGCCATCCCTGGGGCGGGCACCCAGCAGGGCTTCCCATGGGGGCGACCTCCTGCCTGTGTCCAACGACCTCCAAAGGCAGAGGCTAAGGAACAGAGACAAGGCCGCCCTGCTGCCTCCTCCCGCTCTGTTCCCAGCTTTGGTCTCCAGGCCCTGGAACCACCAGGGCCTCCCCAGGGGAGAAAGGAGAGCTGGGGATTCTTCCTCCTGGCCCACCCCCAGGCCACAGCCCCCCCGCCCCCAGCGCCCTCCTGGGGCCGAGGGGCAGTCGGTCCTGCAGAGGGATCCAGCTTCTTAGGGCCCTGTGACCTGTGACTGGTCCCCAAGGCCAGGGACTCTCCTGCAGCCGCCAGGACCAGGATACACCAAGAGCTCGGAGATGATTGCAAGAGGAAGAAAACACAGCAGGAGCCAAAGCCAAGTGAAACCCTTCAACCTCACAATGAATCAGACACGTCAGTGAACACTCGACAGCCCATCAAACCAGAAACGACGAGAGAGAAGGAAAATACACAGTGCTGACCAGGATGTGAGGAGGAAGACCTTGCAGCGCTACTGGTGGGAATGTGAAATGACATGACTTTGGGGAGCAATTTTTCAACAAACATCAAAAGCCACAGAGAAGAGGCAGGTTTGCCCTCTGACCCCACAGTTCCCCTTCTGGCACCTGATCCTCCAGGATGAAGTCAGCACGGACAGCAGGACAAAAACACAACCCTTTGGGGGCTGGGCCTGCACAAGATACTTCACCCGGGCAGTGTTTCTGCTCTTCATAATAATCCTGCATTTCCTCTATGATTTATTTTTTTAATGCTACTATTAAAAAGCTCTAGAAATATACTTTATATGAAAAGATAAGCATTACACATAATTAAATAATTCAGGCTTTCACAAAGTATGCAGAGGCATTGATGCTTTGCAATAGCTACATTGTGCACAAAACAAGTGGACTGGACACACACCCCCACTGAACGGCAGGGCTTTAAAGAGCAAATTGCGATGGCACTGGACCGTGCTGCTGTTGCTGCCACTGCGCTAAGTTTTCTGGGCCTACGTCTGCTTGTCTCCTGCCACCCTTGCTGCTTCCTCTTCCCAGGAGCCCCACCTTCTTAAAGGGACTCCAAGACCCTGGGGGTGTACTGAGTCACCCTCCGGGAAAGGAGCTCTTTCACTAGTCTAGAGTTGAATCACTCCTCCACAGTATGGAAAAGAACTCCTGTCCTCAGAATGATGTTCTGAAGATATAAAGTAAAATATATAAGACTATATACATAACGAAAGTTATCAAAATATTAAAGTAATAAATGCATAAAGTACCAGTGTCTGGTGTTTTTTTTTTAATGCACTAACAAGAGCCGGCGGTGAGCACAAACAACAGACCAGGACTCTGTGCTGACCGGGACAGGACACGTAAACATCTGTGGTTTCTACTGACAGACGTCTGCTCCCACCTTCATAACTGAAAAAAATGTTCCATTTCACTGAAAGGTTAGTGAAAACAAGGACTGTTCTCCTCTCCAGCTTCACAAATAGCAGGTTTCTATCTGCAACTCAGGTAAGAGCCTGAGAGCGCATGAGCAAACCACAGAGATAATCTAGTTACCTACCCTGGAAGTTCAGAGATCAGCCAGAAGGCAAACTCCCCCAGGCCCTGGAGACCAGGCCCAGAACCACTTCCCCAGGGCCACAGGGTCAGGCCAAAGGAGGAGGGTTTCAGCTGGGTTCTCATCTCCACCCTCCAAGCGATTCAAAACACCTGTCCAGTACCCTGGGCTGGGAACCACTCTGGCCACCACAGATCTGCAAGTCGGACCCCAAGGTGCCAGTGGGGGTAGAGGGACCGGACGTGCTGCTGAGGTCCGAAGACACCCACACTCTCTCCAAAGCCAAAAGTGCAGACTGCCGCTGCCTTACCCACGAACCCACATGTGAGGCAAAGCAAACACTCCATAAAATGTGCTTATTAGCCCTAGGACAGAAGACAAGCAACCTGAATCCAGCAACACATAAAAAGGAGTGTGCACCATGACCAAGTGGGATTTATCTTGCAAATGCAAGGGTGGTTCAGCACGTTAAAAGCCAATCAGTTTATGACATCATATCATTAGAATACAGGACAAGGACGTCCTTGGTGGTCCAGTGGTTGAGAACCCACCTGCCAAGGCAGGAGACGCAGGTTCAACCCCCGGCCCAGGACAAACAATCTCACATGCTGCGGGGCAACCAACCAAGCCCATGCGCCCCAACTACTGAGGCCCGCATGCCGAGAGCCCCTGCTCTGCAACGAGAAGCCAATGCAATGAGAAGCTTGTGCACCGCCACGCAGAGTAGCCCCCACCTGCCACAACTAGAGAAAGCCCATGCATAGCAACAAAGACCCAGCACAGCCACAAAGAAATGAAGAATAGAGAACAAAAACCACATGACCAACTTGATCAAGAAATGCAGAAAAAGCATCTAACAAAATTCAATATTCGTTCATGATGAATTACAAAACAAACTAGGAACAGTAAGGGAGCATCCTCAACCTGAGAAAGACTCCATGAAAAACCCACAAGGAACATCACACTCAGTGGTGAGCATCAGCAGCCAAAGACTGAAAACTCTCCCCCTGAGATCAGTAACAAGACCAGGGTGCCTGCTCTCACTAGTCAATGGGAGGGTCAAAGCAGGAAAGAACATGAAGCAAAAGGCATCCTGGCTGCAAAGGAAGTAAAACTCTCTCTAATGACAGATGACACCATCTTATACATAAAAGGTCCCCAGGAAGTTGCTCAAAAACTATCAGAAGTAATACACAATTCCATCCAGGCCGCAGGACATAAGATCAGTATACCAAAAAGGTAAACCATATTCCTAAACACTCTCAATGAAAAATCTGAAAATTAAGGAAACAACTGCATTTACAATAACCTCAAAAGTAAAATAAAAAATTTTTAGGAATAAATTTAACGAAAGAAGTACAAAGCTTATAATACCAAAAACTACAAAAAATTTTTGAAATTACAGAAGCTATACACAGAAAGACATTCCACAGTGAAGGGTCAGAAGACAACACTGTTAAGACAGCAGCACTCCCAAACCGACCTGTCCACGCAACACAAGCCCCGCCCTGACCCCCACTGGCTGTCACTCAAGCACATCAAGGCTGCAGCCTGTATGAGAACTGCACCCCTTCCAAGGCTAAGTGACACTGCACTGGACAGAGAGCCACACTTTGTCTATCCATCCGTCAGTTGATGGACACCTGAGCTGTTTCCACTCCTTGGTTATTACAAAC